GGTAAAGAAAATGGCTAAACGTCAGATATAAATTGATTTTTGATTGGCGACAGAAATTGCTTTAAATTGGAGAATCTATTAAAGAGATTTAAATAAACTAAGATCCTTCGTTAGGACTGAACGATCAGCTGAAAATCACATTAAAACGGCAGCTTTTTAAATAATTTTTGGTGCTAAGGAGGCGAATTTTAATTGCAATTTCTAGCCGCTTTTCACAGGGAGCCACTGGGAATTTACAACAGTATCATTGCTACTTTGTGGAAGGATGTCTGGAGTTTGAGGATTTCCGGAATATCCCCGAGAGTATCAGCCGAAATCGGAAAAAGTAAGGCAGTTCTAAAACTCTTGAATTTTATAAAAAATATTGCACATATCAGAGAGGAGAGCTGGCAACTTTTTCGTGGTTTTGTAGGTAGGTAATGATTGTGACTCGGTGACATACGTATATAGCTAATGATGAGAACGTCTTATTTATATTGAATAAGAAGAGTCCGCTAACTTTAGCAAATTTTGTACGAAATACGATAAAAATAATATTCCTACGTCCACTAGCTACAGTTGACACAGACAGTACTTTGCGATATTATTCGACGAAGGTAAACAGTCGCTGTATTGCCATGGGAGTCGTTCACGGCAGTTTGTTACGATCATTGTTTACGATGGCTGTAAAGCGTTGTCTACGATTGCTGTAAACGGCTACTGGAACCAGTCGTCGTTATCCGCCGTAATTAGTTGGTGTACGACCGTTTACCGCCGACCGTGATTGACCTGAGATGAGAAAAACTCAATTTCGATTTTTTTTTCGAAGTATTGAGTTTTCTAAAAGGTGTGGGAAGGGCCCTTAAGATTACGTTAACCGTCAATAGTGAATGAAAAATCCATCAATTCGATTTTAATTGATACAGATTCTAATCGATTGTCGATGAAAATCTCTTCAGAGGCGAGATATTCAAGAATAGTCATATAAGTTGATTATGTTTTCATCTGATTTATTGATTTTAATCAATTATAATCGGACATTCTGCGAAAAGTGGGATTTTGACATTGATAATCATAAATAATCTTGATTTTCTCATGAATATTTTTCACTGGGTAGTGTCAACAGCAACTGTTTTCCCTCATATGTAGCACAGGAGTTCGAAGCTTGGCTTTACCAAGATCAACGGTATTGATCAGCATACTATTACTTGCGAAGACTTAATATTTCATCTATCCTGTGCAACGATGGAAAACAACNCTACTGAGCTCCTCTGATAAGATTATTACAAAAAGAAAATTGTGTTCTGAAACCTAGTTTTTTTTGCAAAACCAGCTCTTGGAAGACCTATGAGCAAGTTTCATGCTCATATTTGGAATCATCATGAAAATGATTTTCAAGTTATGAAGATTTCCTTGTCAATTCATCTTCCACTTAATAAAGAACTTGAGCTTCTTCTCATAGAGTTATCAGAGAGCCTCTGCCATCACTCTACGGCTTTTTCTTCTGGTTGCGCCACTAAATTACGAACTTTGAATCATTGTATACTCTTAGTCTTACAGAATTATCTGTTTATTTCTGAACAACTGAAACTATAAAATTTTATCTATTATGATATAAATAAATTAGTTTTCTTTTTCTTTTCTTATGAATAGAAGTTTTCAACGAATGACCGTAAGTCGTTTAAAAAATGCATCCATAATTATTCAAGATCTACTCAAAGAATATGACATTCGTTTACGTCCATCATTTGGAAGTAAATATTTCTTATTATTGATTTTTTTTGTTTCTAATGAAACTAAACATCTATCTTAGGTGAACCACTTTTATTAGATATTGAAATTCGTTTAGCAAGTTTTGATAGTATATCTGAAGTCAATATGGATTATACAATAACACTTTATTTAAATCAATATTGGCGTGATGATCGTTTGATATTTGGTAATCAAAGTGATGAAATGATTTTAACTGGTGAAATTATTGATAAATTTTGGTTACCTGATACATTTTTTCCTAATGATAAAAGTGCCTATTTACATGATGTAACAGAAAAAAATAAAATGATACGTTTATATGGTAATGGAGAAATTCTTTATGGTATGAGATTTACAAGTACATTAGCATGTATGATGGATTTACGACGATATCCACTTGATAGACAAAATTGTACAGTTGAAGTAGAGTCTTATGGTTATACACATGCTGATGTTATTATGCGTTGGAAAAATGGACGTGCATCAATATTAGATCTTGATAAAGTTCATTTTTCACAATTTACTATATTAGATTATGATACAATATCATATGGAATATATTTAGCAACAGGTAGGAAAAGAAATTTTATTATTATGAATAGATTGAGGTTTTTTGTTTTGAAACACAATCTAAAAAGAATAGAAATTTGAGCCTTCTTCCTCCGACACAGACGATACGTCACAGATCGTGACAGATGCTTTTGATATTTCATTAAAGATTGCATTTGAATAACGTGATTTACAATAAGAATTACACATCATGGTTCACATTTTGATTCTGATGGAATTGCACTTATAACTTTTTTCCTATTGTAGGTGTTTATCAACGTCTTTCGTTAAGTTTTATTCTTCAACGTAATATTGGTTATTTTTTATTTCAAACATATCTTCCATCAATTCTTATTGTTATGTTATCTTGGGTGAGCTTTTGGATTAATCATGAAGCGACTAGTGCACGAGTAACATTAGGTATAAAGAAATGAAAAAGAATTTTTATACGAATTTAATATGAATTTGTTTTTTTGAAAAGGTATTACTACTGTTTTAACAATGACAACTATATCAACTGGTGTTCGATCATCTTTACCACGTATATCATATGTCAAAGCAATTGATATTTATTTAGTAATGTGTTTTGTATTTGTATTTGCTGCTCTTTTGGAATATGCAGCTGTTAATTATCTTTATTGGGGTAAAAAAGCTAAAAGACGAAAACAAAAAAAACAACAAGAAAAATCTAAACGAGACACTCACGTAAGTTATTTAAACGATAAATAAATAATTCAAGAATGTTTTGATAAAAATTTTTAGAATGATTATGATTTAGTTGATATAGATACTGATCGTGCATCACCTATCATCGGTCTATGTTCTAATAGTTCACTTAATTGTAGAAAATTAACAATAACATCATGTGATGAAAATCGTCAAAGTAATCATGTGATTGATACACAATCACCTCGTATTCGACCTTTGGTTAGAGGAAATCCTGCTTTATACCCATCTTCATATAACCGAAGTCCACGTCCAAGACGAAATCGTCACTTTTTAAATTATCTACGAACTCGTACAATAAATTTACGTCGTTCTATTCCACATATACAAGATGTCAACGATATAGATAGATGGTCACGTCTATGTTTTCCTATTCTTTTTATACTCTTTAATGCTTTATATTGGCCCTATTATATAGTTCGACCACAAACATTTACTTGAATGAATTAAATAGATTTAAAGTACGAAAAACGTTAATTATATTTTGTTTTTTTCTTTAAATAAAAATGAATGTCTTGTTCTTTGTAAATTAAATGGATACGAACAAATAAAGGTTACAGAAAAAAATCAGAACATTCTAGAATCGAGCAAATACGTTACATTGAATCTAAGATTCATCTAAAAATTTGAGATAAATCTAAAATTGGTCTAGACCAATGTCAGATTCACTCAGGTCAATTTTGAATCGACTAACATATTATATTAAAGAAAAAGTAAACGATGGCATATGAAATTTTATTTTGAACAAAATACACTATCTAATCATAAGCAAATAACACAAAAAAAAACAATGAAGAGTATGAATTTATTAGTTCGTTTCGTCCAACTCCCACAATCATGTCAGTCCAACGCTAGGACTCAGCTTGGATCTCCTATTGCATTCTAATATATATATATTCAAACAGAAACGATGACGAAATATCTTAGCTGTTCATTGTTTCCATAAAAATCGTACTTTTATGTTGTTATCTACTGATATTCTATTAGATTATAAGTTGTCAAAGAATGTTTACATCAATGATTGAAACATATTTTATTCGTAAAATTTCGTTTTGAGCATTCATATTGATAATTCATAATTCCATAATTCAATATTTAAAAGCAATAGCTTTATATAGCGATGACAATTTAAATATTGCATCGAATAGTGTTGTTCTTAACACCATTATTCAACTTTTTGATACATTCTAGTTTATTTTGCTTTTTTACTGAAACTTGAAGAAAAAGAAAATTTTAGATCCATACGTTGCTATTTAATATCAATTTATTATCACTCAACATTCTTTTAGGTGAGACTTTAGATTTAACATTTTGAAAAACAAAAAATGATTTTCATTCTTACATTAAATAGATATGAACAAAATTCGATTTAAATAAAATCTTCAGAAAATGTATGTGGGTGTAGAATAAGAGACAACCGATACGCATACTTATCGACACTCCATACCAGCAGCAACATTCACCATCTGGACTTCTTCTGTTCTCCACATTTTTCCTTCGAAATTTTTCCATTCGATCTTTTCCCGATACACCTTTGTGTCACTCAATACATCATATCTATAACTATTGTCCATTTCTGAGTTAAATGTCCGTGGCTATTTTTTGAATAACTTTCGATCGGCACGGACTATCGAGTTCTGGGTTTCGTCATAGGAAAGAGGGTGCTTCAAAGCGTCTTTTTGTACGATTATGTCAAGACTAAAGACACTTTTTTCCGACCGATCATACATTGATACCTTGTTGTTGCATTTTTTCATTGAATTTTCTCGATATTTTAACTTCAAACAACATCAACTTGTAGCCCAAATCCCGCTAAATGCACGATAACATTATTATACAGTAAAGTGATCTTATTGGAAAAAAGAGATAGAAAAGATGACACGAAGATATCGAATTTTTGCTATGTATACAGCAAGTTTTGGGCTACAAGTTGGTGTAGTTGGAAGTTAAAATATCGAGAAAATTCATTGAAAAAACGTAACAACAAGGTATCAATGTATGATCGGTCGGGAAAAAGTGCCTTTAGTCTTGACAGAATCATACAAAAAGATGCTTCGGAACGTCCTCTTTCCAATGACGAAACTCCGAGCTCGATAGCCCTTACCGATCGAAAGCTTTTCAAAAAATGGTCACGGTCATTTAACTCTGATATGGACTATAGTAAGAGAAAAAACTCGTTTATTTGTTTGTATATCATGCGTTTTTTTGTTTAGATTTTGACATCAATATCATCAGTCCATCGCAACAAGATAAAATCGGTTCAGAAAATCTGCTCACGCCTGATGGACAAACTATTGATGATGCTATAGATGATGAAGAAGAGACAAAAAGTTAACGTTTTGCATGAAAAAAAAAACATTTTTTTTTGAATAAAAATCTGATGCTGTATTGCATCCCTTGTTATGTTATTAATGTATGTATATAACAAAACATGCGGATTCAAGTTTGAATATATCAGCAAATCATTTTGATTTAAATCAAGAATTGCAATTTGATCAAAAGACTAAAAGTTTTATTTTAATGCATGAATATTAATTTTCAAAACATGAAGATTGTGCCATAACTGATTTTTATGCTTTAAATAGTATGGAAACGAGTGTCCATCTCACGATTCTTTAGCTGATGGTACCGGATACTTTTTTCTCGAGCTTTAACAATATTTTGATATTTATATTGGTTATATAAAACTTAAATAATTTAATCTTTATTCAATTAGAAAAAAGTCAGAACTTTTCAACATAAGGAAAATATATATGGAAATGTTTGGGGAGATTCAGTTTGTCAATATCGTATATATATAATTTACTTTGGCACAGTTGATTCGTGTTTTATCTCTTGTGAAGTTGTTAGTTAACTTTTGAAGAGAAGGATAATAGACAGTAAGACTGATATAATTTGATAGACATGTTTTAGTATCAATTAGAAATTGTTCAATGTAATCAACATGAGCCATATCGAGACGGAGTAGAGTAAGATGAGAATATTTAATAACTGGCAAACTACGATGGTCTTTGTTTAAATGTTGACATTGTTTGTGATTTTGTGGTGACTGATTCTCAATAGACAATGTTTCAAGCAATGGAAATGATTGAGCAATTCGAATGAAGAATTCGTGTTCAAAAGGATACTCATCATATAGTGAGACTTTCCCAGTGAAAAATTTTCATGCAATAATCATGATTATTTTCGATTATAGACTAAATAGTTTGATTTTTCGTCCGAAAATCAAATTTTTTAGAAATAATTCGATTAAAATCAATTATATAGCCATAATTGATTAAAATATCAATCGAATTAGACATGATTTCAGATTTTTAATCGATTGAAATCGATTATGTCCGATTAAATCAGATTTTTATTTATAATCGATTATAATTATCATAATCAATTATATTCTCAATCGAATTAAATCTGATTCCAGATTTTTTATCGATTGAAATCAATTATATTAGATTAAATCAGATTTTTATTTATAATCGATTATAATTCTCACAATCAATTATAATCTCAATCGAATTAAATCTGATTTCAGATTTTTAATCGATTGAAATCGATTATATCAGATTAAATCGGATTTTTATTTATAATCGATTATAATTCTCACAATCAATTATAATCTCAAATTCTTCAAATTTGATTTCAGATTTTTAATCGATTCAAATCGATTATATTAGATTAAATCAGATTTTTATTTGTAATCGATTATAATTCTCACAATCAATTATAATCACAATCGAATTAAATCTGATTTCAGATTTTTAATCGATTCAAATCGATTATATCAGATTAAATCAGATTTTTATCTATAATCGATTATAATTCTCATAACTGATTATAATCTCAAATTCTTCAAATCAGATTTCAGATTTTTAATCGATTCAAATCGATAATATCAGATTAAATCGGATTTTTACCTATAATTCATTATAATTCTCATAATCGATTATAATCTCAAATTCTTCAAATCTGATTTCAGATTTTTAATCGATTCAAATCGATTATATTAGATTAAATCAAATTTTTACTTATAATCGATTGTAATTCTCACAATCAATTATAACCTCAATCGAATTAAATCTTATTGTGTGGTTTGAAAATCGCTAAAAACAATTGTCTTTACTAAAAGGAGCTATTGCTGGAAGTAAAAGTGAATCTTACAACTTCATCTGCATTTGAACAATCTGGTCAGATATGCAATATGTTGACAGTGGAGCTTTTATTAATTATGCAGATAATTAGAAAACACATTAGTATATATATGTCCATCGTAGAATGATGTTTTCCACTTTCTAACTCATTTCAATTTTCAATGTTTTAATTTTTTCACTTAGATAATAAACTTGAGCTTAGAAAGATGAATAAGAAGCAGTTATTAGGGTGAATGATTTGTAATGATCTACGTTGTGTTCAACAGACCTAGTTGTCTTCAATGTTGTTTAGTGTCAGAACATTTTATTTTATTTTATCTGAAAAATAAAAGTTTTTTTCTAATGAAGAACATTGGAAATAGGAGACACTTTATGAGCTATGAACTAGATTTGGAAAACGGAAAAAATAACAGCGACGGTTCGGACTTTCAAATAGAACTTTTTTTTCTACGAAGTCTTTGACGTGTACAAGAACGTGAGACCAATTTGTTACTGAAGCTACTTGTTTGCCAGTAAATTCATATTTTTCAAAATTGTCGAGTGGACAAACCATTGGTGAGACATTTAATAAATGACTGACGAAGAGAAGAGGTTCTGCTCCATCTACCGTAAAAATTGAGCGAATGCGCCCAAAGTTCTTGACACCATTTAAAAGAAAAAAAAGTATATTTGAATCATCAGCAGTTTTTGTGTGTGAATATGCTCGTGTAGAAAGTCGAAGATGATCGATGTGTAATATGTTTCGATCGTAATGCTTATTAAAGAAAATCTCATGGAATCATATTTGAAATAGATGTCACTACAGTGCAATGCATGCAAAACCATTCACTTTTCAATAAACGCATGTATCATCATAAACTAATATTAGTATTTTTATGTATTTCATATGGGCTCAGTAATTTTGAGTCAGATTTAAGTGTTTTAATAGATTTTAATCGATTAATTTCAGCCAGAAAAAAAAATCTCGAATCTATAGAGATGAGACTATATATATATATATATATATTTCTATTTCTATAAGACTTTACGGCAGTCAAACAAAAATAAAATTGATTAAATTATTTTAATTAATTTTAATCGATTGTTAACGTCGACCGGGTATGTGTAAAGACAGAGTTGATATATATGTCTGTGAAAATAGCGTTTTTCAACAAAAAATAATTAAGTTCAAACGATTAAAATCGATTTAATTATTTTGATTAATTTTAATCGATTGTGTAATGTTCATCAGGTATGTGTGAAAACAGTTTAAATTTTTTTTGCCCCATATCAATGTTTCTACAAATAACTGAATAATCGATTATAACAGTGCATAGGACTTTTATCTAGGGAGTTCTTTTTCGAACTATTGGGAATTTCATTTTTTTCGAAGCACTTGATTGTCAATCAAACACTGTTAGATGTAAGTTCTTTGAGGTCCCGGTAGTACAAAGTACTCAATTGTCCATCATAGAGATACGCGACGCTGTTCAATAATCCCATTACGATTTAAATAGTTTCTTTCAAGTAGAATGAAATTTCATTCTCAAGACCGATTTATTTCGTAGACAGTGTCTTGCCATCTAGAGCTTTTCTAAGATATTGACTCTAGGAGTAGTCTGACAAGTTTATACCTCTATTATTTATCATACGAACAGATCAAGAAATAAGGAAGTTCTCGTACAGTGCCATAGGCATGGACATGGTTAGAATGGTAAATTCCAGTTTGACCTTACGTAAGGGAAAGATATTTCGGACGATTGTCTTTTTAGTATTGAGTTCTCATAAAGTTCAGTCTAGCGTTGTTATTTTCACCAAACATACAATCACTGTCTATACTACGTTCACAGGAAGTAGCATCATTAGATGTTGAATCATAGTAGAACACGAAATATGAAAAGCTGAATATGTTAATTTTTGTTGAATAGATTGTTTTGGAGCATCTATTAAATTACGTTTTGTGAAACACGATCTCAAAGAAGTGCTAAAGTATATAGAGTAGAGATCAGGGCCGCACAAATAGTGACAGGCGGTGAAGAGGAAAAACCATCGCAGATCATGACAGACGGCGGAGGGGGGGGCACAGATCTTCAAAGGCTGTGACAGGTGGTAGTGGATAGACACGGTCACAAATAGTGACAGATTCGAAGGCGAAGCCATGAAGCACCGTGATATACGGCGGGGGCGCAGACCATCCGAGACCGTGGCAGATGGTGGGCGCACAAACCATTACAGACCGTGACAGACGGTAGGGGGCACACACAGTCACGGACAGTGACAGAGGGTGGGTGACAGCGACCATCACCAACAGTGACATATTGGGGACGAGAGCATCACTGATCGTGACAGACGGTGAAGAGGAAAGATCATCGCAGACCGTGACAGACGGTGAAGAGGAAAGATAATCGCAGACCGTGACAGACGGTGAAGAGGAAAGATCATCGCAGACCGTGACAGACGGTAGGGGGGCAGACACGGTCATGGTCAGTGACGTATGGTGGGCAGCAGAGACCATCACAAACCGTGACAGATTGGGTGGCGAGATTATCAGAAACCGTGGCAGACGGTGGAGGGGGGGGCGGAGACCATCAGGCACCGAGATAGACGGTGGGGGCCACAAACCATCACAGACCGTGGCAGACGGTGAGGGGCATAGACCGTCAGAGATAATGACAGGCTGGGGGAAGCCGTCACGACTGTGATAGACAAAAGGTGGTGACCGAGACCATCAGAGATGACCTAAATAGGGCAGGATTAGATTAGAATTAAAATTGATCAGAATAAGATTTTTCTATCGATTAAAATTGATTTTTAATCAATTTTAATCGAAATTATCAACGCGATTATTATGCAACAAAATCGAAATTAAAATCGATTATAATCAGAAATGTTCAATCGATTATAATCGGACGATTATAATCACAATTATAATTGGCCGCCTCTGATTATAACTGATTGATAATATCTGATTTTAATCGATTTCAATCTTGATTTTGTTGCAGAATAATTGGATTTGTGATTTTGATTATTGCCATAGGATTTTGAAATTTTAATCAATTTTAATCGCTGAAATTTTTCACTGGGATAATTATGAACAAACTTGAATAATCCACTTGGAAAACTATTTGTAAGTCGATACAAATAATTCATTGTATACGGTTGTGAATAAATATGACATTGACCAATCTGATCATCTGGAAGATAATGGATATAAGAAATGATTTGATAATCTTCGAGACCTTTAAATGTACGTTGAATATCTTCGTTCGATGGCAAATGAGTTAAATCATCAACATCTAAATTTGAATGAATACTGAATACGAATTTATTTAACTTTGGCATATGATTTATAATATCTCTTTTCAAATCATTTCCATCGATGAATGATTTATCAGGAGTACTAAGACCGATGGAGATATTCAAGAATAGTTCTTCTAGATTAGACATTCGATGTAAGAGAGGTACAATCGATTCTTCATAAAACATTTTGTCTAAGCCACAAGTCAATGAAAAACATTTCAAATGAATTAATTGTTCTGAAAAAAAAACAAAATAAAATTCCTTAGTTTCGTTAATTCTAATAATGTATCTTGCTAATAGTTGCTGGTAATGGAGGAGTAAACAAACGAACATTAATATAAAAAGTATGAAGTCGTTTGAAACCACCATCGAGCAGATAAAGACAATCAGTAAAATCATCTGCATTGATATGTAATTCCATTAAACTTGAAGAAAAAAATCTTGCAGGTTCTTTTGATTCGAAAGATAATCGTTCACTAAAGTTAACATAAATATTGGAATATGGATGAAATTTTAAGCATAATAAATTGGTGCACATAGTTAAAACATAACTGCAGAGTATATTGATTATGCGTGATGGTGATCCTATTATTTCATTTTTAGCGATTGTAATAATCAATGTTTTAATATGATTTTTGAAGATGCGATCTAAATGAGTTTCCGCTAAAGATATTTAAAAAATCCTCGTAGTCTTTTCTTTCGTGGGTGTGGGTGTGTGGGTGGATGTGGATGTGTGGGTGGATGTGGATGTGGAATGGGTGGGGTGTGGGTGTGGACGGCCGTGGGTGTGGATGTTGTCTCCTCTTTATTCACATCCACACTCCCACACCCACCCTCATATACACTTTGGGCATACTCAAAGTAGTGATTTTAGCAAATAAAGTCTCACAAGAAATAGTTAATTAAGTTTTTGGTTCTAGCCAGTATTTGAGCTAGTAGCCATGCTTAATTGCGCATAATCGATTTGTTTGAAGATATTTATTAATAATCTTTTCAAATAATCTATATCTAAACAATCATCGTCTTGCTTGCAGCACTTAATATACAATGATTAGCAACTATTTCGATCGATTAAATTTTGTTGAGCATGGCTAACTAAAAAGATACAGCAAATACATGAAGTGATAGTTCATCAACCACAGTTTGGCACAGTAATTTAGTCTCAAAACAATGTTTCATATCTTCTCTGAAAACGAATAATCAACATCATCCACACCCATTTAATTGAAACATGTTTTCTTTGTCAAGCAACACATTTCTGACATGTTTTGCTGAAGAATTCAATATAGTTAAATGGAATTATACATTTGATATAATTTCTTGCACTGATATTTTATGAAAAGACAGGTTGTACTTAGGGTATACCAAAAGTTCTGATCACAGTTTTTAAAATTTAATAAAGCAATAAATATTGAATATTTTACTAAGGCAATATATAGTATAACGTCTCGTCTTTAATAATATATAGAGCAACTCTCTCTTAGACTTAGTTCTAACATCCTTTCAGACTAAATCTATAATTTTACAGACAATGCAAATATTATTAATTCTTGTTCAATGGTCAGGTACATTNGAAAATATAGGCACTTTTCTATAGATAACATGGATACTTTGAAAGATTGATACCTTGGAGATGCAATGTCCAAAAATTCTGAAATTTTTTATACAAGCTACTCTGATCGAGGCCTTCATTTGGGCAAAGTTTTTTCAGATCGAAATTCGAAAATATAATTTTGCTGTAGAACTGGGGTCCAGCAGGAAAAATCCACTAAAAATTCGATATCTCTGTCAAATCTCAATATGGGCACGAATCCTTTGGAGATTTCTCTAATCTAGTGGTCCCCTACCTAATGAGCAACATATGAGCTCAAAAGCTTTTAACCACTTGGGAACGTTCCCTCGTTAGATTTACATTCTTAGTGGATTATGTGCACAGAAATTTTCAAACCTTCAGCATGTGTAATAGTCGAGATGCGAGGAATGGAAGACTTTTGTCTACTACTGTGTTTCAACATTATTTTCAGCTCGTATTTCATAAAAGAAACTTTCAAATACCGAATAATTTGTAAACAACTCCAATTCGTACAACTCCAGACTTTAAGTTCACGATTTTGATCACAGCCTGATATTGCGTAGCGCCATAATTGAGTACTAAAGACAAAGTATATTTAAATATAATAATTTTAATTTAATTTAAACTAACTCTTGTGTTAAATTTTTATGATCATCAAGAAAAAATAATGATGAAATTGGTCGACCTTCATGTGGTATCCAAAGATGTAAACATCTAAAACAATCTCTTAATCAATAGTATATTTATAAGTAAACTCTACCTGCATGTTTGTGGTTGATCGAAATTAATTGAAAAAAATTTTATTTCACCTTTATCTGTACCCGTTCCTAATGCAGTACCATCTGGTGAGAAACAAACACATGTTACATTCTAAAATTAAAAAATCAATTTTTACTCAATAGAACTATTTTATTAAAGATTTTAATAATAGCAAATAGGTCGCACATTTCTTACATTATTAGACATTTCATGTCGTTCGATACAAAATTTCAAAATCCAAGGAATTTGAATATAGCGTTGGTGAAATTTATGTAATTTACGTTTTAGAATGGCTTGTAGTTTTACGAAGAACCTCAATCCAGCATCACGTTTTCTTTATCTTCTAAGCTTCCTTTCTCAGTGAAAAAAGTCAATCTTCATTAAAAAAAAAATAGAAATTAAGAGGAGGTTCATTGCGGCCAATTAATTTCTTTTTTTTCGCTTGAAAGAATATGTAAACCTGTAGAGTTTAAAAGAACTCGTTTTTTGAATTAAGCATTATTATTATTATTATTATATATAAAAGCACATCTATAAATAGATCATCACTTGTAGGGATGAATAATGAGCTTATCATTCTTTTTCTTCACATGAAAATTAAGAATTAAAAAAAAAAGCTTTTCATGCTGTATGTTTTGACATGCTATTTAAAAAATGAATTAAATATATGAAATGAGGATTAAAAGAGCTTTTCCGATTTTCAAATGACTTTTTTTTCTACCAATGTTTAATGAGTATCTCTCTCAAACATTAAAAAGTTTTATCCTACACTGTGCATTACAATTCCTATATTTTCTGAAAAATTTTCTACGCTTTGAATGTACGTCGTACGAAATCGGTTTTTAAGAAGTTAAGGAAATAAATCTTATCTAATCTTCGAGAATTAAATTATAAAAGTCTATTGCTTTCTTCTATGTTTCTGACATCAGGATATTATTCTAATGAACAAATATCCTTAAAAAACTTACACCATTATTATCTGCATATGTTAAACGACCATTTTCAATTTGATTTAAGCTTAACATATTTTCCGATATACATGATTGTGATGCAATATCAACATTAAGTACTTCGACCTAATGAAAAATAGTTTTTTATTATTATTATTGTCAAAATAAACAGTAAAAAAAAAACACAAACGTTTGAACCATGAGTAACACTTAGCATAGTATATGCATCATTATCTTCACTATCGTTACTATCAGGTATAAAGTAACACCATGATAATGTTGGAGGATATTGATTGTTCGAATATTGCAGATCAATAAATAAGATTAGTATATGTCTATTTTAATAGAAAGATTTCTATTTTGTTTTTTCGTATATTATTTATCATCGAATCTTACTGTAATTCATTTGGTTCGTCAACTTTTTCTATTCGATAAATACGTAGATGAGATGCTTGATCAACACATGCCAAAAGGACATCGTCAGAAAATGAGAATACTAAATCATGAATATCACCCGAAAATGGAGGATTTATAACAGATCGAAAATCCACTTGTTTATAAAACACACAAATAATATCATCACCATTTTGTCCTTGACAATCAATGAATTATACAAAGAAATATTTAAAAAAAAATAAAAAAAAAAGATAAACTTACGTTTGAGAGAATAAGCAACAAAATTTCCACAAGTAGCTACCAAATGACCCGAATAATATCGTGATTCCCAATTATGATCAATAATTGGTTGAGAAAAAACCTTTGAAAGAAAACTTTTGATAACATTTGTAAACTGATTAAAGGGATGTGCAATTTCGGTGAAAAATATTGACAATGATTTACTAACAGTGAGTCTGTTGGCTACACTGGATCGACGTCCTCTGAACACTGACATGCTGACTATACTGAACCGATCTCCGCTGAAGCGCTGACACACTTCTAACTAATTCATATGAAAATGGAGTCAGTCTAAATGTGTGAGACCGGCTCGAATCGGTCAGTCTAAAAGCTATACAACTTTCATCTCTAGATAGTTTAAGGTGATGTGGTCAACACTCGGAAAATTTCTATATATGAGTTTATCTAATAAAAGCAGGAAGGTAAATTAACTAGGTCAGTAACCGGCCAATAGCCGATATCCTATTCCATTTCTGGATTAATGTTCCACTAGTATATACAGTAAATCTATAATCATGCGTATGAAATAAATCAAGAGATTACTTAGATTAGGTCCAAAATATGAAATAAAAAAATAGGTTTTTTTTTATGTCGCAAGACAATAATCATGTACGTGCTTGAGCTTGTTAAACCTTCCCCTACAAGTCATCAAGAAATAAAAATTGAGATAAATGCATGGAAATATAGCTCGAGGTTTGATCTTTCATCAATGACATGTCTTTTTTTAATTTGACATCTCGTTTGTTTTCTTCAAAAATTTTACATGATTTTCATCATTTTCTGCTTGAAAAATATGCTTTTCTTTTTAGAAAAAGCGATAAATATTCTTTGCACTTTCTTTCCGGTTTATGCTTTTATTGATCACGCAACCGAAAATTCTCCGTTGACCTTCATTTTACATGTTTTAGTTTTTTTCTTTGACAGAGCGTGTCAAGGTAAAGAGTATGACAGAGTTCCTTGTTTGAATTAAGAGTAACTTTTTAATTAGAGCATCATTTCTTTGAAAATCTTTCGAAACATTGAACTTTTCTCCTCTTGAAAAGTAACAATTTAAAGAAAAAAAAGGGCTCTCCACCATGCTCTGCCTTCTGACATATCCTTTCAAACTAACAAAAATCAAGTATATACAGGGTATAAAAAAATTATAGACCCTACTGCGCTACATACATGAAACTTAATATTGTAGTTTGGATAGAGATCTAATTGTTTAATCCATATGTTCGTTAGATAGATGAATTTATGTGGCACACAGACATATCTGTGTACCACATAGCTTTATCAATTTAACGAACATATGGATTACATGATTAGATCTCTTTCCAAAATATAATATTAATTTTTTTTCTATATAACATTGTGTTATATCCTGTAGAATAAAGATCCACAGAGAATTTTAGGTTTACCAAACGACCTATACGTAAACCTTGTTTGTTGAATATCTCTCGAAAACATCATGGCATATTGCTGAAAATTTTGTCATAGTCTCTCCACTATAGTCTCAACATATCCTAGGAATTTCATGCGATTTTAATGTACCTAGTCCAAGATCGATTTTTTGAGGAGAAAGAAGATAAAGATTAAAAAAATAATGAAACTCGTTTTATGCTTCAATTTCTAATGTTCACAAGTATATTTAACGTTGCTGATTGAACATTTTCAAATTATATACATTCATTCAATTCTATTACATTATTGTCGGTAATTTCCGTATGATTACTCCGTGATATAATCATCTTATTTTGCTTTGAATTTATTTTTATAAAATGGAGCGATTATACGCGCCAATGACAGAAAATAATTATTTGTCTGATGAAAAGTTGTAAGTATAGAAAGAAAAATTGATAAAAATGTTTATTTGTTTTATCAACAAAGATTTTTTTTTTCTGGATGAATTATAACAAGAAGTCTCATTCTATTCTGATAAAATAAAGAAAAACTTTTTCTTTTCTGAAGTATCCACTAAATTGAAAGGAGTAGGATAAAAAAAAAAAGAAACCATAAAAATCTATTCTATTATACTTGATTATTATCATTGGTTGGTGTTGTTTCAGTAAGTATAGTTTTTCGATTTGTTAATTGTATGTCAACTTCATGAAGTGTTATTAAATGCGTATGTGGTACGGGATCATTACTATTTAATTCACTAAACATAACACAAACATAATTTAGAAAAAAAAAAAACGATCTATTTAAACATCATTTTCTCACATTTGTTGATGATGTTGATCGTCTAAATCGAACGTACTGTAAATAAAATTATGAGACAATAAGTCATAGTAAGAGGAGAATCAAATAACTTACACATTCATATTTTTGATAATAATAAAGTAAGAAAAACCAGATAGCTGATTTTTTAATAAATATGATCTAAAATAATTTTACATGTGTCAAATCAGTTTTTAATCATTAACATTTTTCTCTCAATTTTCTAGTTAATTTATTCCAACATGTCTCAAATCATAAAACCAATCAGATTACAAGTAAATTTAGTAAACTTGAATAGAGAGAAGAAAAAAGTAAAGTATATACATTCTTCTCTAGTCAACTAGCGCGTCCATGCGAACAGATACGTGCAAGCATCAGTCAAACTATTTCATCTATTCCTCTTCACTCCTACGCATATATACACCCACACATATATATATATGTATTGTATACGAAAAGAATAGAACTACATTTGTAACTAATAAATATGGATACGACTATAACAAATAATGGTGAACAACAGCTTATTCAAATGTCTGCATTATTATCTGAAAAATATTTAAAAGAAAATCGTATTGTTACTATGTGTGACACAATAAATTCAAATAATAATGAAATTCAAAAACTAACACTATCCAAAATAAAACAACGACCATCTTTTTTATGCTTAATTTCAAGGCCTATGCAAATTCTTACATCATTGCATACACCACATTTTTCTGATCGTAGTCTTCGTATAACATTTCTGTTATTTACTACATTAATTGGTATAATTAGTTTTACAACTGCACTTATTGTAGGTTCAAGTACAGTACAATTTAAACAACAATGTCCATTGTATGCTTCATTTCAATTTAAAACAATAAGTACAACTACAAGTAATTGGACAATTAGAATAATACCGTCATCTGAAAGATTTAGTTCACAATCAACATGTGATTTTTGCACATTCTATAATGTTGTTACATTTATCTATTGTATTATGACAGGATTTTTTTTCGTATTATTTAATAGTGATGATAGAATTGTTACAACAAATGATCGATATTTGATCATTCCATGGTAGAAAATCTAAAAATTTGTCTTCATCTATTATCTTTTTCTTAACTTACTCTCTTTAGGTTTCCCATGTCAGTTATACTCGGATTCTTGGCCTTAATTAATGCATCTATATTAACAAATGGTTTTTTAAAATTTTGTTCAACGATCATATCACATGATAATAATATTACTTCATGCACTCAATTAAATCAATTATTTTTCGAACAATATCCAAATGTCTCATTATTCTTTGTCTACATGCTCGTAGCTATAATTATATCATGGTTTCAACTAGCATTTTTTATTGGTATTATTACTATTCTTACTATTCGTCTCAGTTCATTATTGGAGTGGAGTAGTGATAATAAACAAATCAATGAAAATCCCATTGAAATAACAATTTAATCTGTCGAACAAAACATGAGGTATAGAAAAACAAAAGACTTATTGTTTAGATGAAAAAGAACATTTATTTTGTTTGTTTTTTGTACATATATATATATAAAAAGAAGACGTAAAAGATGCAAAACAAAAAACAAGAATAATACTGCCTTATAAATCTGCAAAAATCAAAATAAGTAGATAATAATTTCATCCGGCTGGTTTGAAATAGAAATAATCACAGTATATATATATAAATATACAATTTCTTGTCGAAATCAAGCTATATGACAAGAGAACTGTTTTATAGGTCATTTTTTTTTTTATTTATTTATCATTAATCACCGATATGCCAATCAAATTTAATTTCGAGCACCTTCTTTTTCAAGTTTTTCAAATACTTTTCGAGCATTGCGAATATTCATTAAAGTCACTTCCGAAGCTAAATAAAAATAAATATAAATTTGAAATAAAAACTGATAGACATTTGTTATTTTCATAATCAAATATTCCTTTATAATATGATTATTGTTGTAAATTGTATTGCAAATAGAAATTTTATTCAAATAACTTCTCAATAAGAAATAAAAGTGTCCAGTGAAACAAAAAAAAAAAAATCATGTTTCTATTTTTCACAAATTCATATGCATTATGAATACCGTGAAACGAGTTCATATCCTTAGCTAATTGCTGTGAAGATGTAGAATTTTTACGGTATTGTTTAAAATGAATGCAGAAATACTAGAAAAACTGATTTTCGAATTGCAAATTTGCATAGAAATAGGCTTTTGTGAATGTTTCAGATCTGTCTACTGTTTCTTTCTCAAGATAAAACTATATTAATATCGTATCTTTTATATCGCTCATATAAACCGGTAGATTTAGTGTTCTGCTTCATTGCAAATGAATACATTTTTATTCTGCTATGCGAAAAAATTGAAATATCAATTTTTTTGTTTACTCTTAAACAAAGCATATTTGTCGAATTACCCTATAAAGATATTGAATAAAAAATCAATAGTCTCCTGAGATTAAATAAGCACGATTGAAAATGACTATTTTAGTTATTTTTTTGCGATTTGGTAGACGAAATATTACGGATATATTTTATTGTATTATAAACAATTGAATACTCGATATTCACACTGTTATCAACTGTATACGTGACAATAAAAGATGGTCGTAATACTACGCCTATTTAACATTAATTTGCAGCCATTTATGACCTCAAACTATATGAAATGGCAACATACAGAATTGTTTTTTTGACATTTCGGCTACTGTAATTATTGTTCCGAACCTTCTACAAAAACACAGGAGTCAATTTTAGCCCTAGTTCCTGGAATACGAGAAATAGTTGTTCGAATCGGTACTAAGACTGTAGCTAAATTTTCTACGATTTTTAGCGAATCATGTTTAGAAATCATATCATTCAGGAGTTTTGTACAGAGATAGATTTTAAAGAACATAGTTTATTGTGAAAGCTTCAGATCTTTTGATTTGCTTCTTTTCTGAAATCAGAACACCAAATCTGTCTGTGTAAACGAGCAATTTTCCTAATGTTACTGAGAGTGGAGGCGTGGTCTCATCTAAATTCTCCCCTGGTTTTTTTGAAAAAATTTTGATAGAAGCATAATACTAACCTGTAATTGTTATCCTTGAAGATCCCGGGATTATCGAAGCATATCAAAATTAGGTTAGTTAGAGCTTTTGAAAGCGATCTTCCTTATGATCTACACAAGACCGAAATTGTTAGCTCGATCCTTTCGAAAGCTATATGATTTTTCTTGAGTTCCTCGATTTCAACCAATTGGCTTGTGATTACTCAGAAAAGTAGCTTGACAAGAGTAATTCATCATGCTGAGTCAAATGACGATTCCTTCTTTACAAGATGACTGATTCTGAAATTTCAGAAAGATTCCGATAACAGAGTTAGATCATTTAAAATTCAACTCAGAATGATGAATTATTTCTGTCTAGCGACTTTTCCGAGTGGTCACAGGTCAATTGACTGAAATCAGGGGTCGCAACAAAACTCTTATAACTCTCGAAAATTACAAGCCCAAAATTTCGACCATATGTAGTTTGAAAGTAAAATAGCTTCAAAATATTATTTTCAAAAATCTTCACCAAGGACTCACCTGATTGATTAACAAATCAAATTTTAATATACCTCGATAACCAACCATGAATCTTCTCTCTTGAATGATGAAAACCGCAAATGTCTATGATGTTCCTATCAAAAATTATTTAAAAAAGCGTGAAGCCCATTACATTTTGACATCGATAGTAATAGAATCTCAGTAGCAATAAGCTAATGATACTAACTCTTTCTAGGATATTCATAGCTCATTAGAATTTACATGATGCATCTAGTCTCGAATAAAAAAACAAAACTTAATTCTACATATCTCTAATCTTGCCTGTATATTTCGTGTAAAATAATATTCTATTGATCTAAAGAATAAAAACTAATCTACATAAAACTTACAAATAGTTGGATCACTAATCACAACCATAACATATGTATTTGGAGTGCATAATTCAATAAAACACGCAAATGTTGAATTTCGTACTTCCATTGATTGAAATGCTGCAGCTAATTTACTATAACAATAATAAAATTTCTTTACGAAACAAAAAAATTATTCCTTTTTTTTTCTTTTTAACCTGCAAGATAATTTAAATTGTTTAATGATATCACTAATTTTTTCAAATCGACGTGTATCATGATGTTCTTTACGAGTACAATGTGAAATAACCTATTTTAATAAATTTTACTAAAAGCATATATTTTTTTTCTATTTCAATCAAGAAAAAAAAAAACCTTTTACCAAAAAAGTAGCTTTTTCAAAAAGAAGAATTTCATCAGCATCAATAATTCCTGCAAAATTCTCTAATGTTTTTTCTAAACCTTTAACATTCGGTACTAATTGATAAACAATTTGTGACCAAGCCTGAAATATTTCAATAAAAAATTCTTATCTAATCTTTTTATTTTCTTACCTTATAAAGTGTTTCATCCCAAATAGATGTACGAAAACAAGAGCATTGCAATGGTTTAGATATATCATTTAAAATTTTTTCTCGTTCAGCAAATACCTAAAAAAAATAAAATCTTATGTAAAACAAACAAACAAAACAAGATTTTCTTATACTGTTGCACGCATATCTTCTGGTATTAAATCCATTTTATGTATAAGACAAAAAATTTTTGCATTACATGAATGTTGTAAAATAGATTCAAGACATGATTGATAATAATGTAAATCCTAGAATAATTAATAAAAAGAAGAAAAAAAAAAAAACCAACAAAGCCTTTTAGAATGAAAAGAAAAATATTATTATATTTTTTAAACAAACTTTATCTAATTCTTGACTTTGTACATCAAATACATAAATAAGAACTTCAACATTTTTAAATATATTATCTTTTTGTGTTGCAAAATAGCATTCCATAAATGCTTCTTGACCACCACAATCCCATAAATTTAATATTAAATTACCAAGAAAACGAACATAGGATTGTTCAACATCCACTAGAATTTAAAAGATAAAAAAAAAAAAAGAAAGTAAAATTATTTTTTGTTTCGTTCATTTTCTTTTCATACTTGTAGCACCAAGACGTCGTGTATCTTTTGCATTATAATTAGCAAATATAATTGAACGCATTGATGTTTTTCCTCCACCACTTTTACCCATTAACAAAACCTATTTAATTTATAAAATGAACAATTTTCTAAAGATAATTTTCTAAACTTTAACCTTTTTTCGCATCATCTTTGCGTTTTATTATTTAATTGAGCTTTATGAAATAAAGATAAAGTTCTATTACAAAAAGACAAGATATATCTCTATATATTTGTTTTGAAATAAAAACTATTTTGTGTCAAAGTACGAAAATTTTTCTCAGTCTGTCTGTATATTTGTTTATTTACTTCTGCTTGCGTTCTGTTATTGGATATTGGTCAAATTAAATAATTATTTCAAACTAAAAATACAGATGGCGTGAGATAGCAATTGAAGTACAAAAAAAAAAATAAATAAATGATTTTATGTTTAAATTACTTGCTCTAACTAATGCTAAATCATAACTTACCGATGTTACGAAAGTCTTGACAGAAAATATTCACCTATTGTTCGGGTTACTTCAAGGGTACACTTACAGATGAGTTTGACATAAGGAACAGATTAAAGAAATAGAAAAAAATATAATTTGAGCACTTATTCGTTCGTTTAAGAGATGGCATTGTCTTAGTTATGATGATAAATTCTAGCGAATCATTAACATCATAAGAGATCGCATGTTTACATGCATTTTTTCATATTGAACTAAGCAGTCCTGATATTGACTTTATGTTTTGCTTAATCTGTCGATGAGGATTCAAATGTCGAAAGCTCATTGGTGTTGTGTCACCCACATCAATTTGATAAATATCATCAAATTGTTTCATAAATATCCGAAATAGATGATATTTCACTTATTGTATTGTATCTCATTTTTTTTTTCAAAATTCAGTGCTCTACAATAATGTTGAGTTGAAGCTGTTCTAAGGTATGTACTAAGGACTTTATCAAAACCTCTGTTTTGCTTTGTATAGACACAATTTTTGGATATTTTCACAAAATCTATTGGTAGTTGTTCAATCTTACTCAAAAAGAAAAATCTGAACATATTTTCACAAATAGCGAAAAGTTCTATTTTTGATTGTCACCAATTGTCTTTTAGGGGTCGAAAAATGAGCGAATATTTTGTGTCCCAAAATATCCGATAAATTGTATCGATATTTCAGTAGAATGAATTATGTAGAGAACTGCAAATAGGTCATTGACATCTTCAGATAGATTAATTTCGACTAAGAATATAGACTAGCATTAAATATGTCAGAAGCGAATATTATTCGAAAATTATGAAATAGAACATTTCTCCAATACGCTTTAGTAAGAATATACGCAATAAACGATTCATTTTTAACTTTAATCGCATCTTCACACAAATTAGTGTGTTTTACACACACACATCACTATATGAAGATGAAAGTGCGATGATTAAAGTGAAAATATTCCTTTAGTCTCAAAAGAAACTTTTGTTCAAATATTACTATTGTATTTCTAGATGATAAAGTTAAATTGTTTTTAATATGAAAAGATGTAAGACGTTTATCAGTAGTATAAGCTAATGACTGATTATTTATGATGAAAGGGCTATTATTATGATATATTAAGAGTTATTAGCTAACGTACATATCTATCGAAGTGCAAGCTGATTTCAAAATGTTTAAACTGAATCCTTTATAATTTCCAACTTGCTATGGAATTAAATTTTAGTGTTTCTAGAGACATTTATGTTCTCTAAAAAGGGAACGCTTTCAACTGATCAATCGCTTTCTCACCAAAAGCTATTGGATCATGAATTAACGACTAATCTGGTTACCAATATGATCATAAGAATTTCCTTTAGGTCTTTATGTATGCTAGTTTTCTAGGCTAATAAACCTTTTGTCAGAATCGTTTTCGGTCTACTCAGATTATCAAGCATATCGAGTTGTCTATAAGACCATAGACTGTCCTATTTTTTAAATATGAGTTTAAAGTAAAATAATATCGTCTTAAAGATTTTTAGCATGAAAAATGAATGTATATCTGTTGTATAATCCGGATAGATCAACAACAGTTCATGGTGAAAAGCTTGTGAGTCTAGAAAATCTAAAGAGATTTCTCATGTTTATATTCAGAATCAGCATAGTCAATAACTTATAATCCACTAGCTTTTGGAGAGAAAGCGATCGATTAATTGAAAATATTCCCTCATAAGTTCAATAAATTTACAACGTAGTTTATTTAATCGAAAAAAGACTGATTAGAAGATAATTCTAAAAGTTTTTGAATTCATTGTCAGTATTTTCTATTTTGTTTCTTAGTTTGGACAAAAGTTCGGTACTGACAATTTTGGTATCCATTTCTGTTCAAATAATGGTGGCATATTGACAGCATAGTAATTAGGTCCTAATTTTGTAAATTCTCCATTTTGAAGAGGTACAGTTGCAAGTAGAAAGAGCTGCGTGAACAACCATGAGAAAACTAAAGGAATTCGAAATGGTTTATGTGCTTCAATTGTACAAGCTATGCCGTGCAAAAGAAAAAAAGTTATAGTAGAAACAGTTGCTCGAGAATCTATAAAAGTAATAAATGCTAAATGAACATGAAGAAGACCACTAACAAGAAATACAATCAATGCGGCAATACTTGGAGAAGATAAATGTTGAAGTATAGGCTGAAAAATAGATTCTCGAAAAATAGTACCAACAAGTTGATTGTATCGTCGACCCCAAAATTCACGTAATGAATTAGATAATAGTGGAAAATTAGTGAACGATATTATCATGTATTTATTACGAGTGACAATACGAACTAGACCACTTTGAATATCTGATAGAAATGAATATGTCAATACGAATATATAAAACATAATTAATCTAGCATAACTATCACTTGCTTTACATGTAAGAAGCCATCGATACATCCAATGATTTACTAATATTTTAATAACAGCTGATATAAAATCATAAAGAATAGACCATTGTTGTTGTTTATTTGGTATACAGGGTACAATTGGAAAAAACATCCATAGAAATTTTAAGACAAAAGAACGAAATGTAAAACATTGATTTGGTGAAAGAACAATTAAGTGTATTAAACGAATCGATGTTAACCAACAAAATGTTATGAGTAACATAGAAGACATTTGAAGTGGAGGAAGTTCGCTACTAATCCAATATGTAAGTAATACACAAGGCACACATGTTAAAATACATCGAATGATAATATTAGAAATAAAACGAACAAAATAAAAGCATATAAACAATTGCATGACCCAGCCGATGAAAATAAATATTGGAGTTGACATATTGATATAAAGATTTTCTTGTAGTTACTAAAAAAATTTCGAATATTGTTATATCGAGTGATACGGTACGATACGAATATGATAATGATGTTTTATAATATTAATTGATAAACATGTTGAAAAGATTCATTTTTCTACATACGTAACCTACTTTATGAAAACATGCTGATAAATTATATGAAGAGCATAGACGTGTTTTTACCATATATGGTCGTTTATGTGTCATAAAAGAAAGAAAGAGAAAAAAAAAAAAAAGAAAAAACTGATGTCATTTGTTGTTACAAAAAATACCAAATCGGTACCGCATTGACATACTGTGCTCTATTTAGAGTATAGATATTTTAACTAACGGAATAAACTTTCGAAGTGGTCAATTGTTTTTGGGTGTGATCTATCTTTACCATGTAGGTTGTAATAGACTATGAATACTATGTAAAGAGTTTAGGCACTTAGTTTATTGCTATGAAAATATTATATTTTTATGATATTCTTAAGCAGTATGAATTTCAACTTCAGAGAACTCCTTCCCTTTCCGCATGTTAAAATCAAATTTTTTTCAATTTTTGGTTTTCCATCGCTAATCTAGCTTTGAAATGTCCTCTATCAAATGCTGTGATTATTGTTCGTATGAAAAATTTTCTCTTAGTGATAACTTTTAAAGGTTTTGAAAGCATAGATCATGGGTCTTTAAAAACAGCTGAAAACAGCTAATTTTCGATTAGTTTAGTTGGTGAAACAAGTCTTGATATAGATAGGAAATCATTTTTTTTAATGAGAACTTCCGTCAAAGTCGAATGCGTGTTTGTTTTTTCAAAATATTGTTCCGACAAAATGCGACAGCCTGAAAAAAACTTATTACCATTCAAAAAAACATCGTTTTTGATGGTGCTTCCAGTATGTTGCGTTTTCTGAACTCTAGGAGCAATATTTTTCAAAGCAACTCGAAAAAAATGAAGTTTAGAGCTTTGCAGGAGAGGAAATTTCTGGCCGTTTTGACCCCTTATCTCCCTGAAGAAAACATCTAGACGCTTTCAGTCTTGAACAACTTTTGTTCTACTTATTGAGATTTATCGACCTTGAAAGTTTCATTGTTTTTCGTCGAGTCATTCCCAAGATAGTCTAGAAATGATCAGGGAGATCCTTCATTTTTTGCACAGATAAATGTCAATGAGATTAGTTTTTTGTGAAAGTTATAAATCTTTTAGATGTTTCTATCCTAAGATATGGCTATAAAATAGGATACTTTTCATATCGTTCATATACATCAGCAGATCCTGATATTCTTATTTTATAATGGAAGTAATCAAAAGATCTAACATTTTTACAATAAACTATAGTTATTGAAGTCTATCGCATTTCAAAACTCACATTTTCTCATGTTACTGAGAAGACTATGATATTCTGTTGAAAAATATCGTACAAATACAATATCTTGATAGTAATAAAGTAAGGGCCACAACTCTTTTCAGAATGTTCATAAATAATTGGAGCTAGTATATGACAACGATTGGATATCTGATGGATTTTCTTCGTAAGATTAATTTCAGCGTATACAATAGCAATATGATAAAGTCTTAGAAATAATTCGAATAGATCAAAACTTCCGATGACATTTCCGGGAAAGTTGTAAAGCAATTAAAATTAAAATTTTGATACGTCAATGTGTCGTCTATTATAATATATATGTAATAACTTCATTTTGAGTTCATTTTTAACTCCACAAAAAAAGACAGTGAAAAAACGATAATAAATTAAATTATAGAGCTTAAGCGAACAAAACAATTGAAGAATACGGACAAGTTTCGCTGAATTACATTACACAGAGTTTAGAATTATTAAACTAATTTACATTAGTGTAGTTCAAAAAAAAATTTTGTTTTTCGATGATAATGAAGTATTCTAATGAAGCCAATATCATTTACACTTCACATTGAACATTTGATGTGTTATGAAAAAACAAAATTTGAAGACACCATGATGTATGCATTCTATAGTAGAACTTAAGATTTATTATTGTCAAAAATAAAATTGAAGCGTGTATTCGGAATTGTTAGCCCAATCACTGAATCTTTTTTCTTTGAAGCAAAAAGACAAGCATATCTTCTTCAGGAAAATTTCCTAATATATGGACATGAGATTTTATCAATCATTACAAGTTATTATGTTTTTTATTCTTTGTTCAATGTAGTTTTTAATTGTTTTAAATTTGAAAATTATTCTTCTGGTACTTTTTTTCTTCAGTATTTCCCATACACATTCTTGAGATACAACTTAATTATTAAATAAATCATCAATAGTTCAAAATACAAACTTTTTTCTTTGTGTCTTGACTGAACATGTAACAAATAGATCGTGATGAACGCAAAATAAACGAATTGGATAAATAATTATTGATTTCTACTAGGCTAGTTTTTATGTAGAATTGTTCAATATTTTATTTAAACAAATCACCTTGATCGATTGTGAAAAACTAATTTTTACATTCTTATGTTCAATATCTCCAAAGTCAAGCTTAATCATTTTATCTTATTTCGAATTTCAAATTTAGAGAAAATTGGATCTATCTCTTGGTCATTTTTGTCAGAAAATAAACATTCTGATACTATACTATATTTTCAATATCAAGAAAGAGTCAAAAAAATTTCTATACGCATTATAAAAATGTCAACTCCTCTCTTGAATGAAACTTATACAATAAACTTCTCAATAAGTTCCAACATAAGCAGAATAAAGAAAAATTCTTCCGACTTGTTGCATGAAATACAAGCTATGTCATTGTTTAATCTTGAAATTACAAAGAATCTTGCAGATTTTGACAAGAAAATTAGTATTGTTTCTATGCTTTATCGTGTGCCAACACGCTCTAACATTATTGAATGACATATGTAGTAAGGCTGTATTCATATCTAGTGGCATCCCATAAAGCAATGACTAATTTTTTATCATATCAAAGGATTTTGATAGCTATATCTAACATATTTTCTGTAGAAGAAAAAAAAGTCTTTGTTGATCTCAATTGAATCGAACAGTGCAATATTAAGCGATGAATTTTCAAAAATTATTTGTAATGAATTTAATCGCACACAAGACGTACGATCAATAAGTAAATAACACATTTCATTGTGTATATTGTCATTAACAGATTTAATACTTTGACAACAACCATCAAAATATTTCGTTTCGTTCTTTGCTTTAAATAAAATTGTTGATAATAAAGTTTTATTTTAACTGTTATAATTTCTCATTAATTATGTTCGAAGAAAAATTAAATAAAGTACGAATATTATTATTATTATTATTTTAAAAAATACTGACATCTATCAGTAGAATTTGACGATTTTAATGATGAGCATTGCTTGTTGTAAAGTACCTGTTGATGCGTGACGAACATGAGTTAGAACAGTCGATTCAAATTTTTTTTTGATCGAATCAAACCTTCTATCTGATCAACAAACGAATCTATATTAAAGTAAATATTACTACAATGACTTCGAACGATCAAGAACCAATTCAAATTCGAGGCGAAGATATTTCTCCATCTAAAGATGGGTGTAAATACTAACATGAGTTTTATCTCACTTAATTTGATACTTTCGCGTTTTTTTTGAAAGGTCTTCTCAAAGAAATTCTTCATGAAGGTATTGGTGATGATATACCTTTGCATGATGATAGAGTTTCTATACATTTTGTTGCAAAACGACTTGATGGATCAATATTCAACAATACTCGGGAACATGATCGTATGTATACTTTTTCTCTGGGTCAAGAAGAAGTAATTAAAGCATGGGATATCGGTGTAGCAACGATGAAACGTAGTGAAATTGCACGATTTATTTCGAAACCTAAATATGCTTATGGGCAAAAAGGATATGGTGATAAAATAGGACCAGGTGTTACAGTAGCATTCGAAATAGAGCTCGTTGAATTTGGTGGTAAGTTAAAAACTATCGAATTATAATTATTAAAGGGTATATTTTTAAAATTTTCTCTAGGTAAAGATCTTAGTCCAGATCATGATGGAAGCATTATGCGACGAATATTAAAACGAGGCGAAGGACATATAAAACCAAATGAAGATGCCAAGGTCGAAATGAAGCTTAAAGGAACATATAATGGTCGAATATTTGATGAACGAACAGTGAATTTTATTGCTGGAGAAGGTTGTGTACACGATATTCCTCACGGGTATATGTCTTGTCTTTTTTTTAGGATAAAAGTTATAATAATGATTACTAAATGAGGTAAACGCAGAGAATTTTAATTCTACTGCTTTCACGATACATAGTTTACCTCAAAAGTTTCGTATCACTTTTTTCTTTTGAGTAATGTAATTAATCTATATAAAATAAATTCAATTCCACTATACGCCTGTATAGTAAAGATCGAATTATTTATACACCTATTTAATACGATAAAATCTTGAATCTAAAAAGCAAATAAACTTCAGTACTTAGAAAAAAAGACAATGATATTATTGTTAAGAAGGATTCTGTCGAATTAGGTCACCTATTGTGAAATTAAGAGATGATATATACTATACTGTAGAGCAAGTCGAAATACATCGAATGGTATATAATAAATCTTATTTTTACAAGATTTTGAACGAGCTAGAATCAATTTACTGATAGATGACTCTGCATCCACAGCATAATCAGTTACTCATCATTGTCGTCCATAGTATCAATCGAAAAGGTTTTTTTCATTAATGGTAAGTCTTCATGTCTTCAAAAGTATCAACCATAGAAGATGTAACCAAGCGCCAGACTTTCTCAAAAATTGCATGCAATGCAGTCCTACAAAACCTATTATTTAGAAGTTAGAGTGAACGCGTTGAGTGTGAGTATAAGTGTGATTGAAAGAAAGACTCACATGATACTGTCACACCTTCTCAATTCTGAATAGGTGACCTAATTCGACGGAATATTTCATAACAATAATATTATCTTGTCTTTTTTTCTTAGCACTAACGTTTGGTTTTTTTTTAGATTCAAGATTTTACCGTATTAAATAGATGTATATGTACATATAGTTCTCAATCTCTACTATATAGGTATATAGTCAAATAAAATCAATGTTTGTATGGTTTAAATACATGACTCAAAATAAAAAAAAAGGTGCGAAATTTTTGAGGCTCATTGTAGAAAAGCTTGTGTGAAAATAAGTATTTGTTGTCATATAACTTAGTGAAATTTTGTTTTTTCTTTTATTTGTAAATTATCTTTTTTGAAAATTTTCTTACTTGACTTTAATAACACGTCCTCATGATTGTCGATCCATTCATGAGTTAAAACTTGTGGCATTGTGAAAGGAGCAGTTCAATGAGATATTATTATCATTATTTGCTTATTTCCTAACAATTATAATAGTAACAATAGGAAGAAAAATTTTCTGTTCTTTATAAGTTATCGTGATGTTTAAGAATATGTCGAGAAGAAAACAATGAGTTCTGGAATACGTTCATGCAGTTCGACATGTTGAAAATTTTCTTCAATAATGTATCAGCTCGCATAGAACAAAACGTTGAACTCTTGCCAGTCAAATTCAATTCTAATTCAAGTCTTCTCAAAAAACGATCTTGATCCAGGTACAATCAAATCATATGAAATTTTCAGAATATTTGAGGGCTGTAGCGGGAAGACCACGGTAAACGTTTCAACCCTATATTATCATGTTTTCGAAAGATATTCAAACTAATGGAAGTCAAATAGAGCTCATTTAGTAACTAAAACCTCTTTGTCAGTCTTCATTCTACATGCCTTATTTTTTTTTGTATTTGAAAGAGCATGGCAGGATCCAGTGCATGAGCAAACCTTTGTTTTTTTTAAACTCTCTTTTTTAAGGGAAGAAGAGAAATGAAAAGTTCAATATCTCAAACAACTTCTAAAAGTGGCGTCCTAATTATAAAATTAGTCTTTTATATAAGAGCAACAAAACTTAATCTAAAAGAGAACTTAGTCATGCCCTACTTTTTGACATACTTTTTCAAACAAAGAAAGTCATTAACTACAATGAAGCTCCTTTCAGAATTCTGGTATGTGTGATCAAAAAAATGAACAGAAAAAAGAGAAAAAAAAATCCGCTTTATCTAAAAAAATGTAATTCCAGCGGAAATTAACGAAAGCTTTTGAAAAAAACTAGGTACCAAATAAAAAATAATGTCACTGATGAAAGAGCAGACCTCGAGCTATCATCCGATGCATTTATCTAAGTTTTTATGTTTTTGATGAAAATTGAGTTTTTAAGGAAGACACAATATGGATATTTCACATGACAGGTGTATATGAGGCTTGCTCGTTCAGAAATCATTAAATATGATGCAGAACAGCACTTTTAAGAAAAAGAAAACATTTTATGATTCCATATGTACTATTTTATTGTGATTAAATCTTTTTTCAAAGCCCGAAAAACTTAACTTTTTTGGAAACTTACTCTATGGTCCAGGACTACTTTCGCTGATTTACTCTAACAGGGATTACAGACAATAGATAGAAGAACATTCTGATACAGTTTGAAAAAGTTTGGCGATTGGATTGCTCATATTTATGGAACCAGCTGTTCGAACGACACTGTAAAAATAATCTTATTTTTTTCTCAGAAATTAAACGTTTAAATGAGAAACATTTCACCATTGTGTAGAGCTTGACTTGAAGGTTCAGAAAATGTCCTTGATTTGTCTGTCGAACAATTTAGTTTGGGCAGATATGAATTTTTCTGTTGACATCACGATTTGAAAGCTAATTTTTGAATAATCATTGTCTTAATTTCTTTGAAAGTTCTAACAGATTTATTTATACCATTCAATGGACTATACTTCAAAATATTTTTCTCTGTATGCAAATATTGAAAAAGCGCGATTTTCACTTGTAGCCAAATGTGCATCTAGACGTATCCTGTAGTAGAAAATGAGGAGGGAGGGGGGGAGGAACTTAAAAATCATTGGTATTTCTATACGGTTTTAGTTCTACAGGATTTGCTGATAAATGATTGAACATGTTTTACTATTCATTGTTTTTAGTGTCGAACGTTGTGCTTATAAGATGGCTACACGTGAACAATGTAGAGTATATTTAAAGTCTAAAGCAATTGAATGCCTTGCAAAATATGATATTCCTCCTGATGCAACTGTTGAGTATGATCTTACTATGATCAGAGTTGAACGGGTAAGAAAATTCATAAGTATTCTCATGAACAATCATTGAATATGGTCTTTACAGGCTAAAGACACTAAACCACAAACTGACGAAGAAAAACTGGCAGAATCTGAAATTTTAAAAGCACGTGGAGATGCATTACTGAAAGTATGTCAAAGTTCTATTTCTATTTGACACCATTGTCTAATGTTATGTCTTTTTCTTTTCTTAAAGGGTGGTCATTATGAAGTTGCTATAAGAAAATACCAAAAGATATATGAATATCTTCTATCAGCAATATTTTCTCATGATAGTGACAGAGACAGATGTAAATATTTGAAGATTGCTTCTCAATCTAATTTGGCTCTATGTTATATGAAAATGGGCAATTATGATGATGCTAAACGAGTATGCAATAGAGCGCTGGATTTCGATGATAAAAATGAAAAATGCATTTTTCGACGTGGTCAATGTCACTTAGCAATGCGTTTTTATGATCGAGCTATTCAAGATTTTGAAAATGTTCTTAGAATAAATCCGTCAAATCTTGCTGCAAAACAACAAATTCAAATATGTGAACAAGAAATTAAAGCACATGAAGTCAAAGAAAAGGAATTATATAGAACTATTTTTAAGAAAGCTGCCGAAGTCAATACAGGCAAAAAGGTAAGAAATAGGTTTCACTAAAATAATGTCAATGAAAGTAATTTCTTTTTATAGGTTAAATAAACCAAAACAAGTATTGGCATATATATAAAATATCGACTAAATCTGCTTGATTCTTCAAGAACATGTTCTTCATTGTTTTTAATTATTTACTGTCAATGTTAAGCAAAGAATCGTTTAACAATTCTTTGATGTAAAATGTATTTTGTTTTCGTGCTTTTCAAAATTTTTAAGACGAATATCTACGAGAGTTTTATTTGAAATACAGTAATATTCCTTCAATCATGAAACAGAATCATCAATAAATAGATTTACACCATACCTCTTGAAAAATCTGTATGATGATACAATACAGACTGTTTCAAAAGTCTACCGAAATAAAAATAATCATGAAGAGCTCATGAACAGTTCAAGCAATTTGCATGAATTTTCTATAGTTTCGTTCGAAGTTTATTTAAGTTTTATTCAATACAGTTCAGATGAAATGCCTATGCTTATAAGGATATCAATCAAAACAGTTTTATTGTCGGCCGAATTAGTGTCACCTACAATTGTAAAACAAACCATGGTAATTGAATTGAATGCAGAAGTGGATCCTACAGTAGTAATAGCAATGGATGACGCAAATGCATTATAAAGTAATTATAAAAAAATGAATTATAAAATAATTCAGTTCTTAATAATTTGTATGAATAGTATCCGTAGAATGTACTGTGGTCTACCAGGATGTGGATGTACTTCGAGTTGGGCTGAGTTTATGATTACATTCACATCCTGTTAATAGTGGTATATTCTGGTAGACCTCAATAAATTCTGTAAATAACTCTCCTCTACAACATATAGAAATTTTCAATTATTTTGTGGGCGTGGGTCTCCTCTTCATCCACACGACATCCATACCCTATTCTGGCGGGGAGGGAGGAAGGAGTGTGTTCTTCATTGCTGTTGTATAAAGTTTGTTGCATACTGATTGATTCATTACTTCTTAAAGAAATAAACTTTGATAATCGATTTTTTTCAACGGTGCAATTGTCCACTTGAAGACAATGGCCTTCATTTTAACTTGTTTTCATACATAAAAAGTATTTTATTATAAGCATGAACAGTAGATATATTGTATAACTGTTACAAGGCGTTAGCAAATTCGTCGGATATGACCAAAACATCTGAATATGCAATATCCTCAAATATATGGGTAGCTCCACCGGAAATCTCCCGCCTTATACAAAAGTATTTCCCGCCGAGCTGAAACGTTCAACAAGTGAAGTTCTTAATAGCCTAAGAGTATCTATAAAAAAATCCTACTAACTTTCAGTCGGCATCATGGTTTTTTGTAGACCACAAAATATCAACTTTTATCTATAATGACCCTTTTCATGATTTTTCGTTATTTTGGGGTATTGACTTTTTTCTGTAATTAAACTGAATGAATGGAAATTTTTATAAACGTGTGCAGCGCTAAGTTAGTATATTGTGCATAACACTATATCAGCTCATTCATACTACTGGTTTACGGATTAGTCCTATACAAGATTATGCAAAAAATAGCCATCTTTGCGCATAACGTTCTTCATCATAATATGATAATTATCGATCGATTCTAGTCGGGTTAAATACATATATCTAGTGTCTATTTAAGAATATAATAATCATACATTCAATGGGTTTATATTGAGAAGTAGGTAATACAAACCGTTATCCTATATTCACATATAGTGAAAAATTGACATATTGTGGTCAACATTTCTCACCAACGCAGAATTTGGAAGCATACTGGATAATAGTTTGATGTAGCGCTAGTCCTAGTCTATTAGCCAATGTACATAGTTCGTCCCGCTTCTTAAGAATTTTTGAAATAAGGCAGGGTAAAAGAGTCCATTTTTCATATGGGACACCCCTTGGAGTCCCAATCATGGATAACAAAATGAATGTCGAATTCAATGAAATTTTCAGTGATTGTAGAGATTTTCATTCTGAGTGTTCTGGTACAAAAATCTTTTTAAAAAGCTTTTATTTTCAGGAGTATAGACTTAAAATTCTTTAAGCAGAAAAACCAAAAAAAAACAAGTTTTAGGCATAATTTTGATGAATTGTTTTTGATAGACTATTTCACTAAAACAAGGTCAAAAATAAAATCCAAGACCATATTCGGATTCCTCGTTAAAAGGCGGATCGAATCGGACCAACATAAATTTTAAATTTAAAAATAATGGTATCTCACATATAGAGGTGTAAGCCATTCAGCTGCGCCGCCGCCGCCACGGAATCGGAGATAGTTTTACGAAGTTTTTAGCCGCCGCCACTGACATTTTTAAGAGCAAAAACGTTTTTTTTTGTTTTTTTGGTTGTCAAAGTCGCCGCCGGTGCAGAAAAACAAAGTATAGTAGCCGCCCCCGCTACGGAAAAAAAATTTGCAATTAAAGCCGCCGCCGCCAGTGTAGAAAAGCATAGTCTAGTAGGCGCCGCCGCCATGGAAAAAATTGGACCATTAAAACAGTCGCCGCCGTTTGACTCTTCGGCTTACACCTCTACTCACATATTACCTGACTGCTTATCGACCACACTATTTCCTGGATGGTTATTTATTCTGAAAAGCTGAATTGCTCGATATGCTGGCATAGTGTATTTGATAGAGTGTTACTTGCTCTACAAACCTGGCGGGTTTCATGGAAATTGGAAGCATTCATTCGTGATCCTTGCAGGTTTCCTCTTCGATTGGTATGCAAGATGCACATGTGAAAACGCTGTGCTTAAGTAAGATCACTCCATATCTTTTGCGGATGAAAACATTAAGAACTCTATTCTATCAGGATTGTAGAGGACACAAAGTTATATCAAGGACATTATGCCAACATATCAGGCAATTTAGCTTTTCAGAATAAATAACCATCCAGGAAATAGTGCGGTCGATGAGCAATCAGGTAATATGTGAGATCCCATTATNCGTTTCTTGCGTTTTTTTAATGAGCGTGAATGGATCACAGTCGCGGTTCCCGATTGTGCGTTTAAACGCGTTTTTTAAAATTTTTGTCTGCTTGGGATATGTTGTCATTTATAATCCTCAGGACGTCTCACACCAAAGAAGCCATCATCATCTTCTAAGAGGCAGCTTGATTGTTATGATTATTCATTTTCCACTGGCATTTCGATCATCTTATCAATTGACAATCTTTCGACTGAGGTAAGCAAAATACATGAATCAAAGATTAATGGTAATCGAGATTATTTATGTACCTCGGAACCTTCAATGGAGTTACTAACATGAGATATTCCCTCCCAAAAAATTACGATTGCTAAACAGAGCTCTGTTAACAATTATTCATTTGCCATGAGAACTTTCGACAGATTTGTGGCAATCAGTCTCAATTTTAAAATATACGAAATGTATTAACCAAATATTTGCCCTTCGTGTGATTATTGTCGTTATATTATTTACTTTTGATGTTATCATTAGACAATTTATCAAATTAAATTGCGCTCGTTCAAATCAGTAAAATAGATGACAAGAGCGTTGATTGGAAGCACAGTGATCATTATGTTCATGAAATTTCCACACAACCCTGGAGTGGATACTATAGCCAGTACTGTTATGGAGGTGAACAATAAAGTCGAATGAATCCCTAATTGGTAGATAATAAATTAATTGCCTTGCCACCTTTGATTGCCTAGCCCATAATGAAAGCCTTCCACGCAATGTAAGCAAAATAGGTATACAGAAATATCGTGTTGATTTTAAATCATTTTTCATGTAATGTTTTGTTGTCTTAGTAGCGTAAATCCATTCCTATGAAGTGCGTAAAATAAATGCATAAAGTCGTGAAGATTTTTGACATTCATTGATCATTTGATATCTAGTAGCATGAACAATTCGGCTTTGAAATATTAATATGAGTAGAAAAGGTGAATAGAACTCTGCTTCTTGTGATGACTATCGTTATCAAATGGATACGTATATTTCGTAATCTTGGATCAGTTCAACAAGCGAAAATGTTTGTTTTCAAAAGAGCACAATAATGAACAGAATTGTTGGTATTATGTAATTACGAGTAGTTTAGGTACCATGTAATCTCTGATTAGGTGCATAACTTGAAAGAGTAGTGTCATATTAAACAAAATACAACAACAGAACCCTTATCGTCGTGAGCATTTGTTTTTTATATGACGTTTGATCATCTGATGGATTCAAAAGCTTTGCTGTTCTGCGACTAAAATAGTTCCACAGTGCAATCATTCTGATGTACATTCAGTCACCACCCAATCATTGTTTAGCTATCCAATTCGAAAATTTTGTTTGATTACTCGAAAAAATAGGCGAAGATAACAATCCGCATGAGTATTCGTTTACAATGGAATTATCGAAAAGGTGCTCAACTTGAATGCTATGCTTCACAGTTTACGAAATAGGTAAATATAAACTTGCTCCTCAGCGTCCTGTGTACTCATTTTCAGATTTGATCTTCCATCAGCTGTGTCACTTGAAACATTTTCTTCGAAATGATCAACATAAATCAGCATGATCATACTATTGGCCAAGAGTACTTATCTGTCATGTGATCTTTTTATGAGCCATCCAACTCGAAATATTAGCTTTATAATGAGTAAAGTAAGTAGTAAGCAGAACTCTGGTGGTATTATAAATAGCTCATTTGCCACAAAATTATTGACTACATACACAAATCAAGAATTCTGATACTCAATGGGCACAGTACGAGACCGAAACTCTCTTGCAAGTAATTTATTTCACATGTTATCATCGATTAGCTTTTCAATTTGAACACTTTACTTCAAAATGAACCAAATAGGTCAACAGAATCGTAATCATCATTAGGATTCATTAATCATGTGAACACTCAATAAATGTCCAGCTCAGAAGCTTTCCTTTGTAGTGAGCAAACTAAGTAAATAGAAATTTTCTTTTCATAGTTGTCTATTCATTTACCATTTCATCTTCGATCGGTGATTCCCGCCGAAGCTATTGCTTTGAAGTCAGCCAAATAGGCAAACACAATCTTGGTACTTGTTATGTCGACTCATCGGATATGCAATCCTTGATTCATTGTTTCATTTGAAAGATTTACTTTGTTGTTAGCAATTTAAGTGAATAGAATGCTGGTCGTGCTGTCGATAGTTCACTTGCTATGAGATTCTCTATCAATCACACAGCTTAGAAAATTGACTTTGAATCGAGAAAAATAAGTCATTTCGGCCGTGCTCATGAGAATTTATTTATCATCGGTGATTCGATGTGCTATCCAACCAGAGAACTCAATATCAAAGTAATGAAAATTGATGAAGAGAACCTTATTTTTGATTGTCCTACACATTCTTATGCGAATTCATTTTTCAAATATTCTTCAATGTGCTACCCAACTGAAAAGAATTGCTTCTAAATGTGTAAAATAGGAGAACAGTCTTCTGAGGATCATGATGGGAATTCATTTTCTCTACAATTCCCGATCAACTATATAGGCTGGAAAGATTTGAATCGAAGTGAGCAACATTGTTGAACAGAGCTTTATTGATACAAATTCGTTTGAAACGTGATCTCTGCGAAGCGGACAACTCGAAGGACTTTTCAAAGTGAAGAAAATAGTTAAATACAGTGCTTTATGTGAATGTGACAAGCAAGTGTAAAAAGAAGATTAGCTACTGATATTTATTTGTGATTACATTTTTTTTTAATTAATCGAGAATAGCCGAGTGATACTAAAGAATATATATGGCTTTTAATTTGGTCTAGTGATTGTTGTCAGAAATAGATACCGGCACACACTCCATAAAAAGTATTTTTGTATGCGTTTTAATAGATTGACGAACTGTGTGTACAGTCTTCATCCTAAGCCATAATATATTTCAACGACAGTCGTTTACACCCGGGTGTTTTTTAAGCGCATACAAATATTGTATTTCTTTTCACAAATGAAAGACTTGGGTGTTAAAAGCATCCGAAAAACAAAAACAGAAAACGTTAACCAGAAAGAGACAAAGTTACTCCACCCCTCCCCCCGCTCCATTTTCCTGACAAACTACAGGCGTAATGGTATTAACTTTCTGATAAAATTAAGTCCCAATGTATTCGACAATTAATTAACAATGTTGTCTAATTTGAATTATACTATAAATCAAGCTTTCATAGGATGTGGGTGTGGGTGTAAGTGTTCTCTTTATCCACAACTATGCTCTCGAGTTATATATTTTAGGCGATTGTGTTTGACTGAGTATCCTAATGATATGGGATAAAATCACAGCAATTTTATTTTAAATAAGAAAAGCGTGTTTAAATTGTTACACACACATTCAAGAACATAGATGTTTATCACCGTAGATTGGATACATACGATGGAATAATTTTTATATAGATAATTTGTCGTCCAAAAATATTATCGAATTCTGCTTTAGTCACTCGAAACCGTGTTCCAGGTTTTAATAAGATTTCTTGTTCACTCTCAAAATATGTATTGTTCTCTAAATCCGTATACTGATCCATGGATAAATAACGTTCAACTTCAATGATATACAAAACATTTAATGCAAACTCTTCGGCAATAAGACGATCGGCTGATGTCGAAACGAATGGAAGCCATTTGAAATATTTTTCTTTTCGTCCAACTGCTTCTCGATATTCTTCAATTATTTTACGTGGAGCATAATCACCACGATAGACAGTCATCAAATGAGATTTATTTCGATGAGGTATTTCTAGAAGATGATGATCATTGGTATGGCGACCAATACAATTATAAACAAGATAACAGTATGGACCCAGCGTGTCAAGTTTTGTTCGATCATCATCACGTAATGCAGTATTAACAATACGAAAAAGATAACACTGTTTTGTGTATAATTTAATACAACAATCTTGCAATTTTTTCATTCTTGTTTCTTCTTTCATTTTACATGATTCATCTTTAGTCGAAGTCAAAGCACTTATAATATCTTTAACAATATTTTCCGGTTCTTTACGACCTTCATATTTTAAACCATTGATAAGCGCAGGAAAAATAGCATCAAATTTCACATCAAGTTTTCCATTAGTAAATTTCAATAACCAGTCTCGCACAAATTGTGAACCGTGATAATTTGTATCAACACTAGTGCTACATTGCGAAGTCATATTCAATCGAAAGGATAACCTTTCACAGCGACCAGAATCAATTTTTGTTTTTTTGTTACTCTTTTCAAATGCGTTCATGTAACCTCGTCGAATAGGTCGTTGTTTCTTTGGATCCTCAATGCATACCTCTAAAAGCTCTATGAAATCGATCCAGTATTCTTTGTTGATGAACGTCTCGTTGGCACCACTCCTAAAAGCATTCTCCAAAGATGAAGATATCTCAGTTGAGTACGGGATCCATTCGACGTGTTGAATACCATCCGATAAATTTCTATTTGCCTGAAACAACCAAATAATTTCGGTTTCAGATAATGGTGGTGAAATTCGGCGAACAGAAATTAATTTTATAGGCAATGCCATGTTAGTGTTCGAATCCAAACACTTCAAATTTAGTTTCAAAAAATTGCTTTGTAGAGATAGGAATCTCAATTGACCAGTTTATCATTTATAAATTAACACGACAACCTAAAATTCTCCATTATATGCAATAATTAATCTAGAAAAGAAAATTTGTAACAATTAGCGAGATGCTTCTTGAAAAGAAAGTAGTGCGATGTATATTTAAGGTTCCATTTGCACAAGCACTATGTGGCTATCTTTGAATAGTTCAGTATGGTGCATGACTGATCTCCGTGTGCTGTTTGTATTATTAATCAATTTGGAATGGATAGTTTCATAAATCATACCTAAGAAACAGATACATTCTTATTTTTTTTATATGCACTAATAATGTAGGCGAAATGAGGTCGTAAGTAATTGTATTTCGTTAATTGCCTATTGAAATGTGATTATCTGATCAATGAAACCAACAAATTGACAATTCATAAAATGAGATCTTTCGCTGCCTAATTTTTCACTTGTTATATAAATATAATACCAATTAAAACGAGTGATTGGATCAAAAGTGAAATTCAGTCTTCAATCAAATACCTGTCTACTAGTCTGAAAGCGTACGTTGCTCTTGAAAAATAGCATTCCAATATGTAAACTTCATCAGGCCTTTATTTCAAATTTTTTTTTATCAATAATTTTCAACGATACTTTAGATTTTACTTCATAACACATATCGAAATTCTGAATGCTAAAAATAACATTTGAAAAATGTTTTTGTTTTCAAACATAAATTAACTCTACTCTATCGCATGGCTCTACCATGGCTGCTTCTCTATGATATTCATCTTGTGATAAATATTCTCGCCGTTGATTTTCTTTCATCAAACTTTTACGTAGAATCAATGCACTTATGGAAGCAATCATCACCGCCCCAGCACAAATCAAATGTCTCCGTCGATAAGTTGGCTTATCAACTGAACGATAGATCTATCAAAAAATGATTTTTTTTGTCTTTTAACTCTAATACTTCGGCTACATTACATTGGTTCTAAAACACTTACTCGAAATTCTACAGCACTACCTAACTGACCCATACCTACGAAACAACAGACAGCCATTGCTCGATTCGTATGACCACCAATGTGTATCGTCAATCAACTTAAGGCAACGAGAAACGCTGTAAAGACGTCACAGCAAGCAATGCAGCTACTAATATAGATTGCCATCTGGCCACGATCTGCCAGACTGAATATTAAAATGAAACCAATCAAAAAGACGAACAAGAAACATGTTGTATGTAAGCCGTGCTTATTAAAACGTGATGATGAATAGTCGTCCAGTAAACAACATAAACAAGCAATAACATAAGGAGGTTCTACCAACAAATGAGTTACAGGTCTTGATCTATTTATACCATCAAGCACGTTGGAAAAAAACAATATGAAACATAGCATAGTGCCCAGATTCCCAATACTGATTAAAATACAAAGATGAATTCGCCAATCAACAAACACATATTGTACTTGTCGCCATGAAATCCGAGAATCAGAGTCTAGCTCACCATTTGCCATACCGGCATCATCTCGAAGAATGTTTGTAAGAAGTTATTTTTCACTATTGTTTAACCCTAAAATTTCAAAAAAATTCCGTATTTTATTTCATTTTTCTATTTATTTCTACATTGAACAGTGTCAGGTATATTGCCAAGAAAAAAATATTAGGTTATAGTACCGAGCAAAATTATCGGGATACCTTCGATTAAAAAGATCCATTGCCAATCTTTCAGACCAGCAATATTTCTCATTTGAGTGATGCCATATGACTACGATGAAACAGAAGATTTTATTCGGTTATCTATAGGTTTTTATTGTATCTCAATATGCAATATAAGATGTTAAAAGCAGTTTTAAAGCAAAAATAAATATAAATAATCTACAAACTATTTGCCATGATGGTTTCAAAATCACAAGCCAAAGCGGCTCCTCCACAGATGAGAGCGATTCTCATTGTTTGCTCTATTTTCCTATACCACAAGAAAACATAAATCGTAATGCCAGAAATATAAGCGGGCATGATCATTCTCTTCAATGCAATGATTATAAAATATCATAGTGATTTTATTTTTCAAATAACATACTAGAAGAAAACGAACTGTGAGTAACTCTCTGACATTTTTTATAAAAGCTGTACCGCTCATAACAGCTGCCCATAATATCATACTTAACGACAGATAATATTTCGAACCAAAAAAACGTGATAGAACGAAGCTCGGAATTCCAAAGATTACCTATAAGAAAAAAAATGTCAATATAAAATGGTCAATTATGGTGATGCACAAGTAAGTGTAAAAAACACTATTTTTCTGAAAACGAAAAAAGCAACCCATTTTTAACTGTAACCTAAAACATAGATATATTAAAATCTATAGAGTAGAAAAAAACCTTAATAAAGATTGAGCCTAAATTTTTGAAATAAAATATTAGCTCATTTTTCACGTTACAAAATATTTCAGAAGAGTCAAAAGTTACGAGATAGAACCAACATTTTGTGCTCTTTTTGAATACAAACTTTGAACGGGAATTTTTGTACAATTATCTTTTTTAAGTTTTCACTATTATGATTTGAAACTAAAAGTTGAAACTTTATTAATGTAACCCACTTGATGAAAAGCTACAGCTCAGTTCAATGTCACATTTCGTAAATAAATATCCGCTTAACAACACTAATGTGTTTTGAAAACTGACTTTTTAAGTCTTTGAGAGATTCTATCAGTATTCGTCCTGTCTTAACTAATGCTCAGAAAGAGTAAACGTTTTAATTCTAACCCATGACTCTTAACTCCTCTAAAGTAGTCTGAAGCGATTGAAAAAAAGAGTCATTTTTTTCCAATATTTTCGACGCACTACTAGATAAGAGATTTTAAGCAAATTCGACATCCTATTTTTTTAGGATTCTTTGTTTGTCTGATAATCGTAACGTATGTCTACGATACAATTTGTGCGATTCTAACTTACATAAGCTACGTAAACTAATGAGACGGCCAAACCCTGTTCCGTTGTGGTTAAACGGATATAATTTTTAAACTTAATTAATTTAGCATGACCTATATAAATTAAAAATTCTTGAAAGGAAAATACTAGAGAAATATATGAAGAAAACCTGCAATCATTTGACAGCTGAATGAACATAGCTCGAGTATCATGATAAAACGAATAAGGCGTCTTTCAAGTTTTCTGATTAATCGACGAATAGCGTTTTGCAGTCGCACTGTTTCTATACTTTGCTCGACGAGTTTCATCGTAGACCATAAAATACTTTATGTTTCATTTGAAGGCAGACATATAAATGATATTTACCTGACTTAAGGCCACAATAGCTTACATGCCTACTCAAACGTATATACATATATACCAGCTTTCAAGTTGGTTTATTGATTTACTATGCATCATTATTCCTTCTGAAAGGAAGAGAAGAAAACTATTTTGTTATTTGAAGATTAGATAAGCTTGATTCATCGATCATTTGGAGCACATATTTGATATAATTGAGAGAGAAACAACATGTATTGAGATTAGCTAAAAAAGGAAGTACCATATATAGAAATATTTCAGACAAACAGATATATAGATACAATTGAATTAATTACCATTTTATAGATCCTAGACTTTGTAATTTAGAGAAATTCAAGCGTACGATATACTAAGACTTCACTTAATGATTTCATTAGAGATTTTCTATACGTCAATTTCTGAGATTTTCAAAATGGATTGATGCTGTTGCATAGTATTCTAAACACGAACAAATTCGCGAATGATTACTTTTGATTCTTAAGAAAAAGATCTACTTTTTTTTATTTCCAATCGAAGGCGTTCATACTTCTAGTTTGACACTGAATTACCAAATGATTCCACAATGAAATAGTGAAAGTTGAGAAGTTTTCATCCTGTACGTCAATCAATGTCCCATTCTCAGAACAGAGAGATACTGTTTCTTTTTCTCTTTAAATCAATACAATATTGACTCGTACAGGTTAAATGCGTCAATAGGATTGATTCAACAGTGTGTGAGTATAGGGCAACTTTTAAGCCATACTCATGCCTAAATTCTATTTTTCTGAATGAGACTAATATTTATTTTTATTTTGTGAACGAGTTCTAACAAAGATATTCGATAGAATAGCAGATGTTCGATGTAATGGTTTAAGTATTGATAATGCGAACTGTGCGTAAGTTTGGATCTGCGATACCAACTAGAGAGCCGCCCTTGCCGAGAAAATACTGCAGAAAATCACGATGGTGTCCTTCCATAATTTCACCAGGAACAAGAAGTGGAACTCCAGGTGGATATGGTATCACACTCTCTGCTAGCACATGTCCTACGGCCTCATCTAGAGAAACATGTCGAACATTGGTGGCAAAATAAGCATCACGTACGCTTATAACCGAACGAGGCAGACCGTCCGGTGGTTTGATGAGTGAGAAATCAGCATGATTGATTTGTCGATGATATTTAGATAAATGGCGTAAAGCATCGAGAAGTTGATGGATTGTAGATTCCGTATCGGCGAAGGTAATCGAACAAATAATCTGTCTGAGATCGGCAAATTCAACTTCGAGATTGTACTCTTGCCGGAGTAGTGCACTGGCTTCGAATCCACTAAGACCAGTTTCGCTTACCCGAATGATTAATTTACTGGGATCGATGGCAAAAATACCGTTGGCACCGATTAACTCATCGCCATAACACCACAAACCGTCCATTTCACAGATAGCATCCCGAGCTTTTCGTGCTAATACAAGTATCGTTGCTAAGCGTTCACGTCCTTCAGTAGCCATTTGCATTCGTGCTGCATCGAGTGAAGCTAGTAAGATAGAACTTGGTGATGAACTTTGTAGAAGTGATAACATTTGCGCTACACGTGCTCGATTGACCAAACCGTTGTCATTCAGATGTAACATGGCTGATTGAGTGAGAGCACCTTGCGTTTTATGTGTACTTTGAACGATGATATCTGCCCGCAGAGAAACCGCTGATTTAGGCCAATCAGAATGCAGTCCGAGATGTGAGCCATGTGCTTCATCTACCAAAAGTGCTACACCATGTGAATGAGCTAGATTACGAATAGCTGCTACATCGGATAAAACCCCATAATAATTCGGTGATGTTAAATGAATTGCGACAACATCAGGATGTTCTTCTAGGAGACTTTGCACTGCCTGAACACTGACAGCCAGAGGAAAGCTAATATCGGGATGATAATCGGGTTCGATATAGATTGGTGTCGCACCAGAAAGAACTATTGCTCCATAGACTGATCGATGCGATGCACGTGGCATAATAAACTTTTGACCAGGACCGACTACACTCATTATAGCAGCCATATTGCCAACGGTAGAGCCATTAATGAGAAAAAATGTTTCATCAGCATTATACGCAGCCGCAGCCAATTTTTGAGCTTCGAGTAATGGACCTTTGGGCGAGTGTAAATAGTCAATATTTCCATTGATCTCAACCACATCGGCTGGATACAGATTGCCACCGAAATAATCCAAGAGCATTGGATGAGGTGCCTCTGTTCCTTTATGACCGGGCATGTGAAATGATGTAGGTCTTAAAGTTTTTTCTCTGAGCAAACTTTCAAGAAATGGTATTTTTGTTTGATCCAATGAATCAACACCATTGCTCATCATGAATGAAGTTTTTTCGGGTTCCGATGTCATTATTATGATGCAAAGAACTCGCTCATAAAAGAACGCAAGAGAACGCAGTCTGAACTTTGTGATGGCTCTTTTTTAGAATTTTTTTATCTCCGTTTGTATTTATTCTTTGTCCTTCCATTTATTTTTTTTTTGTTTCTCTCTTTTTTCTGTCATTATTTGCACGTAGCTGTACTTTTAAATCCTCATCGCACTCAGTGTCATACTGGAAATTGCGTCGCAACTCATTTTGTTACTCCTTTCTATGACACTTATACGAATAGCATTGTATATAATGTGTAATCGAGATCGCTTCATTGTGAAGAGAAGGAACAAAGGACACATATATTGTGTTAAAGTTATCGTTGGCTTTATCTGCTATCAGAACAAACGAACCGAGTATTTTTATCTTTCCTTTTACCTTTACTTTTTCTTCTACCTATTCACTATTGACAATAAAAAGACGCTGGTACTTATAATGTTGTAAGCAGATAAGTGAATGAGAGTTTATTCTGGTAATAATGCAACTTTTCTTAGTAAACAGAAAAAATGTTTTCAAGAGAGATCACGGCCTGTAAAATAAAGTAATTTTCAAGGGTTGGGCCTCAGAAATGAGTAATCATCATGGAACTGAAAGTCGGTGATCTTACGTCGAAATTAAGAATCTTGCCGAATGAATGCCTGAAAACGTTAAAGATAAATTTTCTTTCTCTCTCACACGTCAACATGAATTCTGAACATATTCGTGGTTTTATTCGCAATTAGTCAAGACGCCATCTTCGATGTTTTGTTTCGTATACGTTTGAATAAAACTTCACATGATTGAATAGTTTCTAAAGAATTTCTGTCGAATCGTATGTCAGTTTCATTTCTCACGTAAATAAAAAACAATATTAAAATAAACTACTACCATACAACACCTTGGTTAATTTAATTCGTTCCAATGCAAAGAAATCGATCATGTTAATACACAATGTGTCAGGATAAGTGATAAAGAATAATTGATCAATATAGAGTTGGTGCGGTCAGATTAGTTCTTCTCTATAACACCATATTCTTCTACCTATTTTTTATACGCCTTAAGAGGCGAATTGGTGCAGAAGAATCAAATTCGATATCATTCCAGTGTATCTACAAAGAAAGATACTTTCAATTTAGTATTGTCTGCAATATTTTCACCTTGTGTTTAATTGCCATTCATTGATCATAGAATTTAAAAGATAACACCGGTTCAATCAGAAAATTGTGTCGGATATGGATGTGGATGTTAAGGAATCTTGTATCCACACTGTTCATGGTCTGCATTCCAGTAAAATAAAATATTTGAGAGTCTTTGGAGTTTAGAAAATGTTAGTTAGATAGTCGGAACAAACGGTCGAAATTATTTATGTAGCAATGTAGTATGAGGCTCATCTATTCTTCGAGTACCGCAATAGAAGAGGCAATAAACACCTTATTCGATACAACGAATTATTCTCTAACTTTTGACGTAATACAGTGTTATTTGAATCCTGAACATATTGAACAGTGCCAAAATGAGTATGCAAGTAGAAAAGTCGACATTTTGAGTAAAATAATAAATCAGCATCTTCTCATTTATGAAAAAAAGAAATCGAAAAGTAAAACTTTCGCTAGAGACATCATAATTGGTTTTCTTATGGGGCACCCTCTCTTAAAATGGAATGATTTGCTGGCTTGAACTCGTATTATTTTGGACTTCTTCCTTTGTATACTTCTCTTTTCGAGCCATCAATGCATTTTTGTTTTTTATTCACACAAAGAAAATGCCACTTTGCAAATTTGAGCAGTTACTAGGCAGCCAGTGAAACTGATGCAGAGGTGAAGTGCTTCACTTTCTACTTTGACTACATTGTGGAAATATTAGATGATAGTTATTATCAGCAGATTTCACCGAAGTAGGTGACATTGGACAACGATATGAACGTTAGATTCTACTATAGTTCATCCGTCAAGATTAATTTTTTTTTACAAATGACTTCTACTTCACCATCATACAATCAAAAAATTGCAAACAATCATAAAAACATTTTTTCCGCCCCATCCAATCGACTGGGAAATACAATCTTGTGAAGGAATTCTCAAGCTAAAATCACCACGTCTAGATTTCGCTATTCCTTTTTTTACATATTTGATAATTTTATCCACCAAAGCCCATCCTAACATACTCAGATTGAGCCATATTTTCTAAAAGATTTTGATGCATTAACTTGAATTTGTCAAATGAATTCTGTATACAAAATAAATGAGAGTAGCTTCGTCAAAAAAAGACACAAAATAGGTCCATAGAAACACACTTGTAATAACATCTCAACATCAGTACCATAATTCACCTTATGAAATTTTGGCCTTGTAAATTTTCCATTTCCTTATCCAAAAAATATCAGTACAAATTTTTTACCTGAATCAACGATGATGGCGTTAGCAAGCTTGTGGTTATTGACATCAGACATTGCAATCGAATACGAACTAGAACCGTCCTCAGTTCAATGCGTCGTTATACGGGCGAAACGTTTCATCACCATATTTGATTCGTGCACCGATATTATTAGCTGTGAAATTAGCAACGATAAGATCCAACACTTGATCGCTGCTGAGATCGGCAACAGCAGCCGAATAGCGACAAGAATCATGCCCGGTTGAAAATGAGATTCTGAAAAAATAACAAAGTCACATAATTTTTCTTACTTAAGATCCTACTTGTTTTTCGATTTATTTTATATGACCAGTGTCAAGCTACTGTTTTCTGTCGATAACAGCTGACTTCCACCTATGATAGGCATCCTTATGATAGCTACATTTTGAACGTAAAAACAATATACACTGTCACTAAACAGAATGAAGTAAACATGTTGTTCACTGAAATCAACTCAGCAAAAGAAAAGAAAATAACGTTATTTTTGTTTTCTTGTATAGGAGTCTGCAAAGAAGTCAGCTCACTTTGTTGCAAAAAGAAGAGAAAATGTAGTTTGAGTCATTGGCCCATGAAACTATTCTCAATTAACTGAAGACATCAGAAGACAAATGAATAAAAACGAAACAGTAAAATGAAACTTACTAAACCTGAACGATTCTGTAGTCTCTGTGATTGGAAAACGCAATTGTCGCAGTAATGAAATGCGTTATTCTTTGAATAGTTTGCTGAAACAGATATTTCACGCGTTGTTTTAATAAGAAATTTGACAATCAGCTATCATGCACTCATTCGATTAATTAAAAAACCATCAACTGTAACAAAGCCTTCATTAGTAAATAGCCCAAATGAAATATCATAGATTTCCTGCTTCTTCTTTTTAACATGTATATCATCGGTTGGCAATTGCTACTGACAGCTTTATTGGTTAATTGAAAATTTTATTTCATTTTTTCATACGTGTTCTTCTGTTAGCAGTAGCATAAATTTCTCTCTCCATTTTTTTCTGTAATCACTTGAAATCTTTTCATCAAATCATCATGGAAATGGCAAGTATTCATCGAGAACGCCTGATAACATGAATCTACATGTTGTCTTTGGTCGGTCTTATTATTATTGTCTGTTTTGGTTGTGGATTAGTTGTTCGAACAGAAAACAAGACCGAATACTCATCTTCGCAGTCGAAGTTTACCTACTTGATAAGACGCTAACCGAATATTCTGAAATGCCCGTGTTAAAAAATTGGAATCGTCTATAAAACAATTATCAGGACTCATGTCAGCTTTTGTCAAGTATGTATTGATTCGATATTTTCAAAAGCAAACAGTTTCTTATCGACTGACTATGACATTAGACGCCATCTTAGCTTTTTCTGAGAAGTGACAGGAGGCTTTTGCCATGTTAGCAATAACGCACAGATCAATGCTATGGCGGACAGGGTTTGGTGTATCACATCTCGTTAGTCCGATGGCAGGCAGATGCCAAAAAAGTCATTCGAATTCAAGAACAAGAAGCTGTTATCAATGATATTTCATTGGTTCAGACAATCCTAGCTCGTAATTTACTTGCTATTCGCTGCGTGACAACTAGCAATCAATTCATTTTTACTTTAGCGACTAAATTTTACTTAACGTATTCGCCACCAGGTTTAGAAGCTAAAAATTTTCCAAAACTGCTTCCAAGAGAGTTTAATGACTGTTCTTGCTTGACTATTAGTGGCCAGCCGCATCCAGTCCTCATTACCTTTAGTGACCATAATTTGGTAACAGTGACTGGATTGATTGTTGACTGATTGATTGTCGATACTACAATTGCTTGAACATTCGAATACTTATATGATTTAACATGTTTTGCACTCTTGCACAAAGAATCTATTACATATATGAAATTATGATCAAATAGTTTCAACAAACATTCTCGTACCAGTATGATGCAGTCCTATCCATTGTTCTTATACACGCATAGATTTTTTCCATTTTTCATTCTTACTACGATCATTGAAAAGTTTGGGATTTTCTCATTCTTCCTACAATTTCTTGTTCCTCTCATAAAACAAGCTACCTTTCGTTGGCTTCATAGTTATTTAACATCAGCAGAGTTATCACGGAATGAGATGCAATCTCACCAAGGTCTATGTAAGTTAAAAGTGACAGAGGCGCAATCCCTTTTTTTTTGTCATTCCTATAATATCGAGCATCAATGGAATCTGAAATTTTCGGAACAGATAGATCTCGATGACTACCTGTGAAGTTGTGCTAAACGCTTTCATAGCACACGTATCAATCAAAAAAATTATTATAATATTGATATATCCATTTATTCGACGTCTTTTTTTTTAAATAAATTATTGTAACTTCTTTGACAATATGCCATACATTTGTGAGAATTAGAGCTTGCAAATTCCATACTTTCGCTCCTCACGGGACCGTGCTGACAACTTTGTTCACGAATAAGCGTTTCGGATCCTTGCATGACAGTGCTAGTTCTAATCAGGATCGTGATAGGAACATATATAGATTCAGTTAGAGTCTTTGGAAGTACTGTTTACAGTACTCAGTTCTATTCATTTCTTGAAAGAACCTTGAAGGATCTTTCAAAACCATACATCTAAAGCATCGTGGTAATTTTCATTCAAAATCCTTTTTGAAATATCATCAATTGCCTATTCGAATTTTTTTTCTAAATTAAGAATGCCGATCATTAACAGAACATCGGACAAGATATTGTCAAAATCTGGTCAAGTTTTAGTCAAGATCTGTTCTAAAACTTGATACAAAGATACAGTGATGACTTTTAGTTACATCAGGGGAGGCTCCTAACAAGAATAAAATAAGATTAGTCAAGATCTTAAGTGATAAACTCTGCTAAGTTTCGATCAGAGGCCTGTTCTGAATTTTTCAGGAATATCTGTTTTCGAAGCATTACAAGACCATACCAACCATGATCAGAATCCTGATGGAAAAAATACAATGATATAGTTTAGATCTTTGCAGATTTATGCTTAGAATGTATTAGGAATTCGATTTTCAGCATCCTATAAAGATTTATAACTGATCTTGGTACTGATTGTGACAAAGATTGACTGAAGGATTTCATCAAGACTTTAGTTGGTTTTTGTTCAGGATCGGTACAAGATTAATAAGTCTTTAGATCATAACACGAATTCAGATAGCAATATTGAGTACAATCTCAATAGTAATATGCAGAAAAAGGTTTCGAGTTTTGTTACATTTGGCTCCAAATTTGGCAGAATGTAGGAGCGAACCAAGATTTGGCTCTGATCATGTTCGGATCTTTGTATAAACAAACACAGAGTTTCTGGCAAAATTCCAGAATTCTTTTTTTTAGATCTTTTATATATTAATATTGAAATTGATTTGAGATTTCGGCCAGAAACACCGTTATTTTTGTGATTTTGTGCAGCAAGAGAACTTGAAAAATTATCAAATGAGGGAATTAATTTCAATTTATTTACTGTAACATGTTTTAATTGAATATCTATCTGTAGTAAGATGAAAATAATTTGGTAAAATTTGTTCATAGTTTGAATTATATGTAGAAAAAGTTAGATATAGATCTTTTTAATTAAATTGAAATTAATAATAAATAGTAGATATTAAATCAGAATGAGCTGGATTATTTTTTATTTTGGAATCCTTTTTTCCAATTCATATTATGACGAACATCAAAGACTGAAAAATGAAATAACGTACTGTTTTCTGATCTGCGCAACAAGTGATCACTCAAAAGTATGTAGCTAGATCGTCTAAGTCATGTATAGACTGACGTTGTTTCGCAAAATCTTCGACAGTATGAACATCATCAACGTTTTGATCTCGTATATTTGCTTCATTAGAATCCTGTCCAGCGAGCATTCGTGGGTTGAAAGTAATTGAACCTTTCGGGATAAAAGTAGAGGCAAAAACCATGATCGATACGATCGAAAATTGCACACCGGCTGTATATATCAATGCAGGTCTAATAGTACCCTGATTATTATAAACACTATCGATATAGATTCCGAGCAATGGATTAGCAACGGCATAGAGAATGATATAGGACGAGTAGAGAAATGCCATGACAGCACCTAGCGGTGAAATGTTTTTGTCGATGGATCCAACACTTGTTAATGATGATTGAATATAAGCACCAAGTGAAACATCACCAGCAGCCCACCCAAATGAAATTGGAATGAAGGTGGCGGCCATTATCCAAGCATATTTGACCTCATTTACTGGAGGATAGAAGAAAGGAATATACCAAACAATCATTAAAAGTACTGCATCTAGACGAAGCCAAGGGATTGGTGTACGAATGGTACGGGCAAAAATGAAGACGAAAAATGCACCGATCAATTCGCCGAAATTCGAGCCACCAACAATAATTTGTGACCACGCAGAATTTTCCATATACCGTTTTGCTACTTGTGGAGCTATACCATTTTCAAGGTAACGATGGGCGTAGAGTGCCACTGAATAACCACTCCACAGCCATATGAATTGGCGTTTCGTAAAAATAAGTTTGCCACCAATATAAGCCGATTTTCCGAAGAGAAAAATTTTCTTCAAAACGGATTTCACATAATTCGACTCGTTGTCATCGGCTTCTTCACTTTGAGCTCGGGAAAATTTCAGAGAACCGAGGAAAAGCCAAATGATTCCGCACGCTGTGAAACAAATAGGTGTTATGATAAAGGCATAATTGTTTCCTAGTCGAGGAATTAGCCCGAGTGCAGTAGAAAAAGCTCCAGCAGTGCCTGATACTTCATAGAAAATATGAACTAATGAATCCATTCTTTGTAATTTTTCTACATCACCACCAACAATATCTCGAGGAATGATGCGTCGAATCAATTCGACCATTCCATAAGCGATTCCAGTAATGCAATAAATTGGAATGATCAAATCTGAATTGTAACGGCCATAATAACTGAAATCATTCTTATGTTTCGGTTTAAAATTCTCTGGTTTAATGTGTCCGCCAGTGGCACTATCAATAATCATTAGAATGGCTGTAAAAATACCAAAAACGACGATCGATACAGAGAGAACAGTACGTGTTGGCCAGCGTTTAACTAATGGTGCAATGAGAATGGAGCCGACACATTGAAATGCTTGATTGAGACCAGAGAGTAGACCAATTCGTTGAAACGTTTGCGATGGTTTTTGGTTGTTGAAAGCATCCTGATCATATCGATTCGTCGCTAATGTAACAATCGCTCCATTGAAAGCTTCTAAGCCGAATTTATAAAACATGATACCGATAATGTACACAAGAATATTTCTTTTCTCTTGTGCCGAAAAAAGTTGCCACACTTTCAGAAATCGAGCTGAGTTGAACAGCATTTTTATCTAGAAATCAATCACAATGAGCAAGTTTGTGTGTTGATGAAGAGAAGATCCACATCTCCCGCAGTCACACACACCTGCGTCTCACATACCCTAGGCTTACATGAACACCCCATAGCCACTGACACCCTTTAAATTCGTATCACAGCTGGTGGAATGTGAAATTTGTTCAAAGAAAGTTAGGCTCGCAATGGGTATCGATCGGTAATTTATCGTGTCATTTGAGCATCTTATTGCGTGTGGGTGTGGGTGTGTGGGGGTGGGTGTGGGTGCGTGGATGTGGGTGTGGGTATGGGTGTGGATGTGGGTGTGGGTATGAGTGTGGATGTGGGTGTGGGTATGGGTGTGGGTATGAGTGTGGATGTGGATGTAGATGTTTATCTGTAATGCATAGAGTTCTACACCCACACCCACACCCACACCCACCTACACCCCATCTATCTTGAATAAGAATATAACATACCGTATGGGTATACACCATAACAATATGACATATACTACGCTTGCTAACAAAAATAGTGCACCCATTAACATAACTAATTAGTAGAACGATGTAAATAGGGATGCAAGAAATCCTTGTTTATTGGCATAAATGTTGTAAATTTTTCGGTATAAAGACCCACCAAATCCAATCAAATCTTAGAAGTTCCATTTTTAGATTTGGTAGTTTTGTCCCAGTATCGAGTAAAGCGAATAAAATTGGTTATAATTGACACAAAGAATTGGTTGGATTTAATAGCTTTTCCTCTCGAAAATTTACGATCTTTATGTAGAAAAATAGGATTTGTTGTACCCCTAAGTGTGTAAAATAAGAGTGAAACGTTTTGACTACAATGAATCAAGAAAATGAGACCATGACAAAAATGAAAGTGGCTCATTTTCTTCATCGAGATAGATGCCTATTGGAGAAGAACTAGAGCTCACTGGTAGGAAAATGATGATGGTCTTTAAACCATTACAATTGATTTGATTTACCAAGTACAGTCCGTATGCAAGTCAGTGATCTGTTGGAAATGTTCAATAAAATAAATGTACACAAATTTGATAAATTTCAAAATGAGACATTGGCATCAGCAAGTTGATAATTTATTTCAAACATTTCATGCAATTCTGGTTCACATAATTAGTCATAGAATATAATGAGTTCGTCATTTGTAATATACGCGAAAGATATTGATTGATCTAAGTCAAACAAAAAAAAAATGAAACCAGAATCAAACTTATTAGCTTCTTTTTCATTTCTTATTCATTCAAGACGGAACTCAGTTAATTTTCGTACTTCATAAAAGTGTGAATCATCTATTCAAAAAAGCACTGTCTAATTAGTTCCATGATGGTATTCTTGACTAATAGTTTGTCAAGCGAGTGACACATCGCAATAAACGGAACGCATTGAAGTGTGAAGAAGCGTCAAGAGGAAAGCATCAAAAGCACAACAAGAACGTAATTTTCAGTTAATGACGAAAAAGTGTGATGACGATTGAAAATAGTTTTGAGTGTAGATGTGTGTTACACTCGGGACCGGACGGACCGGTTTTTCACCGGTTTTTTTACCATTATTAAAGGGTAGTTGTGGGTACCATTTAAGAGAGTCCACCGAAATAGGAGATAATTTATCTGTATTCTCCACAGTCTGTCGCAGAAATAACCTGCCAAAAAGAAAATCACTTATCTCCATCGTATTATTTCAGCCAATTGAGCTGAGTTTTTTTCTCATGGTAGAGGAGGTTTGCAAGTTGATATTCGCAAAGATAAAGTTGACGAATGATGCCAAAAAGTATTACTATTGACTTCAATAGCAAATTGAAGCATTTTCCAGTAGGATAAAACAGTATACGACATTTTTTATTAATTTCTTCAATTTTTTTCGCAATTTCCGATCATAAATCATCCAGATCCTCAACTCTTCCTTTATAAACATTTGTTCTGGTATTTTCTTATAAAAAGAAGTGTAACAGCATTAAGCTTAATGGCTGCGAAGATTATGCAATCATTCACGACTTGCAGTTTATCAGTTATCAATACTTTCATCGTGCTGGGAACGAATTGCTCAGTAGAAGTGTATTGCTGACTGTTTTTTTCTTGAAAATGTTCAAAAGAAGATTTATAGAGCAAATATGAAAGATTTGGATGGTTTAAAGTCGACGATAACGAAAACAGTTCAAGGAACTAAATAAAAATCATTGTCCATGGTTTCACCATACCGACAAAAGCTTCAATTTAGTATTGAAGCCACTAGTAATACTTTTTAGCACCATTCGTCAACTTTATTTTTGAGAATAAAAACTTGGAAGCCACCTCTACCACGACAAACAAAACCAGCTCAGTTGACTGTGACACAGTGGGGATAAGTGATTTTCTTTTTGGTAGGTTATTTCTGGGGCGCTGTGTAGATGTCGCACGTTATAAGAGATAAACATTTCATGTTGATACTTGAAAATTTAATTATGAAAAGTGAGAAGAAGACTATAGAATCGGTACTATATTAACTTGAAAATTACTAAACGATCCTAAAGGTTTAATTTAAAATTTAATTGCTTACTACTTTCCAACCAATAAGCATCGATACATTTTCACTTTGTATGCACTACAGTTATATATTTCCCAAGTGTACAAGAAAAATTAGCATCTTAAAAAACCAATTGCAAATTTATTGAATAATTCGCATTCTCTTTTAATGTATTTATTGTTTATTTGTTCTAGATTAGAGATGGCTAATTTATCGTTGCTTATTGTTTAGATGTAGTTTTTTTTATCAGAAACACAAGTATGATTGATCCTGATAACTTGAAATATGGTTAAATACAAGTCAGACTAAAATTAAAGCTATTTTAATAAAAAAAAACACATTAGAGGAAGCTGTGAAAAGTTATCGAACGATATTTCTTGGGTAGGAAGTGGCGATGACAATGGTGTAGAAGAAAGTTTTAGAGGTTAGACAGCATGAAAAGTTTATCACTTTTCCTACTCTTGCAAGAACTGCTTTCATGCTATAATTGTTCATTTTTAGGAATCAATAGTATTCAACGTATCGAACTCATAATAAAAAGAACAGAGAAAGTTAAAGAAAAAATTGTTGACGTTAATCTGTACATAAACATATAAAAGAGTGTTTATACAAATCTAAAAATCATCCATCTTAAATTTCATCGTCAACAAAATATACTTTACCATTAGCAGCACCATAAAGTCAAGCATTTATACCAAATTTACTTATAATAAAGATAAAATTTCAAGTAAACATCAAACAAAACTCAAAGATACTGAATTAAAGTTCATTGTTAGTCGAGGATATAGTTTAAATGCACTTGAAAGTAATAGTGTTCTGGAACTATTGCAATTGAAAATTAAAATTGGAAGTAATTATCATATGTTTGATGTAAATAATACTTTTTATGGTCATAAAGCTTTTCATGAATATTTATTGGTAATATTGGATGCATATTTGAAGTCCATAAAACATGTTCTCAATCAAGCAATAAAAGAGCATTGTTTGGCAGCAACATGTGATCTATGGACTGATGATTTTATTAAAAGAGAATATATAGATTGTACTGTATTTTGTATAACTACAGAATATGAATTAAAACATTGATTGTTGCGATGTAAATATTTGCAACAAGAATTAAAAACAGGCATGAATATTTGAAGGATGCGTGCAAGGTAATCATATCATCCGTCGGCAAACTTTTGTCGACAGATATATTTCATCGAAAAATATTCGTGATGAAGTATCAATGTAAAAAAGTATGAGCCTACCTTTTCCATTTGATCAAGGCAATACAACAGAAAATAACAAATAGTATATTCATAGATATAGAAAAATTTATGAAATACACTAACAAAAATTGATAAGGAGAAGAAATAAACAAAAGACTAGCAACGAGAAGAATTGGCTTTTTTTCTATTGCCATGCTGAATCATTTATTCTTTTCGACGAATAACCATAGGACTTGAATATATTCGACGAGATTGCTCTCTTTCTTCTTGAATCGATTTGCAAGAATTTTGAGGCACTTTTAAATGTGACACGTTCGTTTTCTGTACATCTTTAGGTTGGTCATGTTCACATATTGAGTATGTTGATTGAAGCGAACATTTTCTTGAAGAACATGGATGAAATGCGATATGTTAGGATGTTCTTTGTCGATGCGATGGGCATATCTATTCTACCATCACATGTGAACCATATTCGAATGTTATAGAAGGTCATAATGCAGGTAAAAAATGCATTGTCAACGAATGATATGCAATTCGCGTGCAAAGACTTCAAAAGACTTGAAATTTCGTAAGATTTCACAAAACTTTGACGAATCCGTGAATGGCACATCCCAGACAGTTGCTCCCCTCACACCTACTTTTCAACAATACCAAATAGACCTTTTATGAGTTAGAATAACAATGTATAAATTTATAAGTAACTTATTTTCTTTTGTCACATTTGAAGAGTACTTTATCATTTAACAAAATAGAAATAACATTCGTATCGTCGAAGACTCAACTGCAATGTTACATCAATAGATCACCTTCTACTGTTATCAAAGCTATTAAAAAATGTGCTTTATTAGGAAGCTTTAAAAGAAATCGGTGAGGGTGTTGCCAAGTGCTGAGTGTTTTACCGTAATGGTTTGATGATAACTGTTTGTAGAAACAAAGTTTGACTAATAAAATCTCGTCATCGTCAGGTCTATTGTCTCTTCCAACACAAATAAGAAAATTTTGTTCAGAACAAGAAAATGTTTAGTAATGTGAACTTTTTCGGATCACTCTGATGGAAGGAGTTCCTTTGAATGAGTGCGTTACCACAACTTTGTATCCTTCTAGAATCGTCACAGTTCGACCAAATAAAATGAAAATTTTAATGGAACTAGGATCTTTATATATCTTGCTGCAATGTTAGTTTCAGC